ATAAAATATTATTTTATTGTTTCCGACACAAAAAATCTTACGTATCTACTTTTTGAGAAAAAGTGACTTAATTACCAATCTTCTTACTCAGCTGTACTATGTCCACTGCTGCCACTGTCTTCCCCATGCTTCTATCAATATGTCATATTTTGCTGTCTCAATACAGTGGCATAGCGTAGTGGGGGCGGCAGGGGCGGCACTTTTAGGGGCGACAAAATTTCACAATAAATAATATCTTGTAAAAATTTGAACCATTTCATTTCATATTTTTGTCGCACCTACGATTCGGACCGATTGAAATGAGCACGGAATTTTTCATTACTTATTCTGTGACGAAACTGAATTTTAGTCTTTTAAATTGAGATAAATAAATAAGGGGACGGCGAAGGGGGCTGACACCCACACTACGCCACTGACACCATTCATATACTTTATATTACACGGAGCATTAGCATCATTAAATTAGAAAATTGATAAGCAATTCCATGTTTACTATTCTCAGGAAACAATGAAGCAACAAACTACAGTACCTTTAATATATTGAATAAAATAAAAACATGAAATTGTTTACAAATATAGCAATGGGGATAAATTTGAATAAAAACTTTAAAATTTCTCGTTCGTGGAACACTCGAGGTAGGTTTCGGAACACTGGTTAAGAACCACTGTTTCTACAGACAGAAGCTTGATTCATCCGTAAACAATACCCGATGCCATTCAATGTTCCATTTGCGATGACGACGACGCCACGCTAGGCGTGCAGCCCCGTATCGAGCGGTTAATGGCATCCCGCTCCATGTTGCTGGTTGCACACAGGGAAACTGGCAAATGGTTTGGGTGGACAAAGATGCACTTGCCGGTGACGGCAGTTTTGGATGTCACGTGCCATGACAAACGTGTCCTGATGGGCCGTTCGCGAATCTGCCGGTCTTTGAACTCTGTCATGCACCGGTGTGATCCAATACCTCTTCGGCATGTTCGCAGATATTCCTGTGTCCATCGTGTCACACATTGGTGGATGGTATTCACGTCGTGCCCAACATGCGTGGCAACGGCGTGCATCAACAAACCGAGGTCGCGCAGCTCGAGGATACAGTCTCGTTCCCAGCCGTTAACTGGTGGTATTCAGCACGCTGTTGTTTCCGAGGTATTTTCTTTAGCTTCTTCGAAAGTTCGATGACGCGTAGAAAATGGGCAGTACAGCCTGAGGTGGTCCAGAGAAACAAATTTCAAATAATCCGACTATTCACAAATAGAATTATTATTATACACAGGTTTGTTAATTCTAAATTTATTAACAATCTTCCAAAATTCAGCAGAATTTTTTATTTGTGACATATGAAAGTTAATCTTAGTCCAAAACAATTTCTTTTTGGCCCTACAGTGAAGTTTGAAATTTTTATTTAAGTTAGAATAGGTAATAAATTGTTGCTTAGGTCTTAATCACCTAAAGATCTGGTATAGCTCGATTTTTCTCTCTCTTCAGTCGTAAACAATCAGCATCAAATAAAAACTTCATAAATTTTCTTGAACAATCATATCTGACAAACATATCACTTTGAACCGGGGATTCAAGAATCACCTCAACAAAAGATGAATAAAAAGATAAGGAATCCAAAAAGAATCTGCGTTTAAAATCTTCGTATCTCTTGATAACATTAAACAAATATTTATCAGAGTACAAAGATCTCCATACGTAATGAGAAATTTCAGTAGGCCGTCTTTTAGTGTGAAGAAGAGAATCAAACCGGAAAGCAATAGAAACTGGGAGATGGTTGAAATCAAATTTATTCAGAACCTTAAAATATATTAAATTATCAACTAATTCCGAGTTTATAGCAATTAAATCAATAACTGATGCATCCAGAGCGGAAATAAACGTAAAATTGGCAGGAAAATCAGTAGCAAAATGATCGTTTATTAAAAAAATCAAGCCAAAAGATTTAACAAAGTTCTACCCTATAGTTAAAGACCACATTCTTGGAATCCCTAATATTATAGAAATTTAAATTAGTACCTGTATATAATGTATCTATTTCAGAAGCAATTCTGCCCTTGCATCACCAAGAATCAGAATATCATCATCTTCCTTAAGTCAAGGATTAATCTGTCAAGATAGATACTCAGCCCACCAGTGGCCGAGCGGTCTTCGTACCCTAAACACTGGGAGTTCGGTCGTGGGTTTGCGCCGCGATCGGACAGGCTGGCTGCTTGGAGTTTTCCGGGTTTTTTCCTTGCCGATAACGACTAAATAGGAGGCCAGTTCCCCATAAAAGTCCTCCCGGAAGGCATTCTTCCCCTCGCGTAACATCGTGCCCCAGAGAAGGCAACGGGAAATCACTCTGGGTACTAACTTTCCCTAGTAACGCCTTGGCGTATTATTTACTATTTACTAATCTGCGCCGGGTGTCGCCGACGTCAGAAATCTGATATGGCACCAAGAAGAAGAAGAGTCAATGATTCATGTCTGTCTATAGAAATATAAACCAAGACAATTAAAAGTCTAGAACGATCATTAAACAAAGATTTATCAAAAATAAGTTTAGCGATAATAAAATTAGCAGAAAGATGACAAATTTCCAACTTACTCAGTTTTCGAGAGCATCATCAAACAATGATGCTTGACATCATGGTTTGATATCAAGTCTCTGGACCTGGAAGACCATCAAGCTGATGGTCTTCCAGGTCTCTCGGATTTATGTACCAAAAATTCAGTAAACCAAAATTGGGAATCCAACGTTGAAAGAAGGATTTTTAATGGAAGATGTCATCCATGTTTCAATTTTACCAATAAAATTATATGAAAAAACAAAATCAATAAAAGTGTCAGCAAAATTAGTATAGGAAGAAGGTGGTATTATGGAACCCCTCCATTTCAAACTGATAATAAAGGCGAACTGTAGCGGATTGTGGCTGAACTGCACTAAGCAGACATCCATAGCAAGGGGAAAACATGTTTCACTTCAGTTAATTTTCTTCCATTTGACGAGCCACCAACTTTCCTAGTAGTACAAAAGATTCAATCTTCATCAACTTATTATTCAGTAAATCAAACGTTAAACAGTCAGGTGTCATGACACACAGATTTACTTTTCTTCTTAGCCTCTCTATAAAAAGGAACAAGACTCTTTCCGAATTTTGATCTCCAATGTAAATCATCAAAAATCCTGACCCCAGAACATTTAGCCTTCTTTCGAATATTAAGTATATTCCTGTAAATCAGAATTTTTTTTAATCGGAAACAACGACAAGCTCAGCCACCACCAAATTATTTTTAGAAATTTTATTAAGAGCTTTCACCGAAATAGAGTCACCATTGAGTCTTTTAACAGATGATAAAATATCAGAAGTCAAAGTTAGAACCTCCAATGAATCACACTGCAATCCGGCGATAACAATATTATTTCGCTGACGCTCGTTAATTAAACGATGCGTCCAAGAGATATAAAAAATAAGAAGTCCGAACAGTAGAAAACACATTTGAATTAAAATTAATTTCTCCTTCTTCTCTACATTAATTAGATGATGTTCGAAGTTTTTATGCAAATTTGCTAGAGGATTTAGCTATCAAATTTGATAGCTAAATCCTCAAGTTTAGTTAGAATGGTGTCGAATCTCTCTTCCAAAAATGAAATTAAATTTTGAGGTACATTAGAAGACGAGCCTAATAGTGAAAAAGAGATTCGAGTCGTTGAGATTTTAAAACTGGTTCGCTAGAAGATCTTCGACGTTTTCAAACTGACGATATGGACGACTTTGAAGGAGGGGAGAGAGGACCAACACTGGCGAACGACACAAAGCGCCCCTCATATTTAAATAAATATTCCAATATTTATTGAGTTACTTTTTTGGCGTTTTTTTTCTTGTTCGGTTTGGATATCTTGAAGTTTATCAGAAGTTTTGATTACTGTTTTAAAGTGCATTACAATTTCTTTACATATTTTTTTTATTTTTATTGGTTTTTCATTTCCTACTAGAGCATCCTAAACAACGAGGTTTAAGCTGTGTACAAAACAGAGTATATTCCCGATTTTTAATATGCTGCATGCACCTAACATGTCTGCATTATCCATAGTTATACATACGATTTTATCTTCTAGAGACCATTTAAAAAAATCTTTTTTCGACATATTTGTTATATTCTCAGATGTATGAGCAGAAGACATTATCGGTATTTCAAGTATACACGATGTAAATATATCATTAAAAATAAAGTGGCATGTTAATCAGTTAAATATGACCGATTATTTATAGAAGTCCAAATATTTGTTGTTATGAATACGTGTTTCACTTCGCCGATCATAACTTTCAATTTTTCTTTACACTCTTTGTATAAGTTGAGTACAAGTATGTTGCCGATATATTTTGGTGAAAGTAGTTTATATCTTGGTTCTAATTCGTGCATAAATTGCACAACTCCTTATCCTTATAATGAAGGGAGGCGCCACCATCTGGGACAACCACCACACAAGTACACATCTCACACAGCATCTCTAGCGCCTACCTGCCGCTCATTTGCTTCTTTTCGTTCCCCTATATTTACTCACCGCCCACAGGAGAGCGATAGTGCCCACTTTGGGAACCAATGTTCTAGCTCGTTGGTTAACCTATAGAAATGACGCTATTAACAAATGTCGCCAGAGGAGAATAATATATTCCAGTGTTAAGTTATAGAGATGAAAATTAGATTACATGTATTTTTTTTCGTTTGTTTATTGAACGATACAACGAGTTTTATGGAATGTCGAGTTTTCAGGACTTTGCTGTATTATATAATTTTAAATCGATATAAAATATTAAAACATTGAATGATACATTAGAATTTTAGTAAACACATAATTGAAAGAAACGTAAATATTAATAAATTATATTTTAGATTTTAATATAAATAATGGATAATTTATTTTGTTTTTGTTTGTTAAGTTATTTAAAAAATAAACTACTAATTTAAAATCTATTCGAATAATCGAATTTAAAAATAAAAATTGCTAATATTCGCGTCAGCCAGCAGATGGCTGCATTTACAAGTCACGTGACGCGTTACAACCAATCGTTTTAGAAACATTTCTCCGAGTGGAGAGTTCTCTTCTAAAGAAAATGGCGTCGGTATCTTTAGCCACTTTATTACCGTTACCTACGCAAGCTGTGTACAATGAGGATGAGGTGGAGAAGTCGAGAAAGTTGCCTTTTCCTTCTCAAGCTATTGTTCCTTCACGTAAGTTACCAGCTTATGGCCAGAGACAAGGTTGGGTACCAAGAAATCCCGAGGATTATGGTGGTGGAGGAGCCTATCCAGAGATTCCTGTTGCCCAGTATCCTTTGGAAATGGGAAGAAAGAAGGGGAAAACGAATTCAAATTCGTTACCTGTCCAATTAGATGCTCAGGGGAAAATTAAATATGATGTAATTGTGCGTCAGGGTCATAGTAAAGACAAAATTGTTTATCATAAATTTCAAGATATGTTGCCTTCTGAAATCACTAATGACGAAGATCCTGAACTTCAAAAGCCCAATGAAGATGAAGTACGAGATACAACGGAAGCCACCCGAATGGCTTTAGAAAAATTAACTCACACCAAAATATCAGCTGCTATGCCAGTCAGAGCGGCAGAAAAACCAGGTCCTGCACAATATATCAGATATACACCGTCACAGCAAGGTGTTGCATATAATTCTGGAGCAAAACAAAGAATTATAAGAATGGTTGAAGTTCAAAAGGATCCAATGGAACCTCCTCGCTTCAAAATAAACAAAAAAATTCCCAGAGGACCACCGTCACCACCTGCTCCTGTCATGCATTCCCCTACTAGGAAAGTAACAGTGAAAGAGCAGCAAGAGTGGCGTATTCCACCATGTATATCCAATTGGAAAAATGCAAAAGGATACACAATACCATTAGATAAGCGATTAGCCGCGGATGGTAGAGGTTTGCAACAAGTTCATGTAAATGAAAATTTTGCAAAATTAGCAGAAGCTTTATATGTAGCTGACAGAAAGGCACGTGAAGCTGTGGAAATGAGGGCCCAACTTGAGAAAAAACTGGCACAGAAAGAAAAAGAAAGAAAAGAAGAACATTTGCGTCATTTAGCGCAGAAAGCTCGTGAGGAACGTGCAGGAATTCGCACTCAAGCAGTTTCGGACAAAGATGAAGAAGTAAGAGAGAGAGAACAATTGCGCTATGAACGACATAAAGAGAGACAAAGAGAGAGAAATATTGCTAGGGCTGCTCCTGATAAAAGAACAAAATTGGAAAAACAACGAGAAAGGGATATCAGTGAAAAAATTGCACTTGGATTGCCTAATACAAGACAAAATTCTGGAGAATTGCAATTTGATCAAAGATTATTTAATCAGAGTAAGGGAATGGATAGTGGATTTGGAGGAGAAGATGATTACAATGTTTATGACAAACCTTGGCGTGGAAATCAAAGTGTTGGACAAAGCATTTACCGTCCTCGAAATGAAGATAAAGACATGTATGGTGACGATATTGACAAATTAATTAAAACGGCACGATTTGTTCCCGACAAAGACTTTTCTGGAACTGATCATTCTGTCAGGCGTGATGGGCCTGTTCAGTTTGAAAAGCAAGAAGAAGAAGATCCTTTTGGTTTGGATAAATTCTTAACAGAAGCTAAAAAAGCTAGTAAGAGACCAACAGAGGACTCATCTAGAGATTATGATAGAGATCGTAGTAAAAGAAGGAAGGAATAAATTTCTTTGTAAAGATTTTTATTTAAACTTAGTGACACTAAGCTGGAACTGTCTTATAATAAACTAATCTTTTTATTATTGTATATTACAATAAATGGCAATAAATTTAATTATTGCAGTTGAACTTGTTTAACTCAAGCATGTTTATCTTGAAATTTATTTTCTCCTGCATTTTCAACCTAAATTCAATATATTTTCCATGTTTACATCAAATAATTTTCTCCAAAACACCTATATCAAATTATGGACTGAAGTGTCAATTACTAATTCAAAGCTCATTGACTACATTTTGATAGCATAAATTAAAGTTCAGAAACATCTCTTGTAATACAATACATATTTGCAATTCATGTTGATTTTCTCTGGCTATGAGTTTGGCTTGCATCTTATTGATTGAAGAAAGTCAGGCATCAGAAACTATTGACAAACTATTTCTGTTAAGGTATGTTAAAAACTGTTTTATTTATACCTAGTATTTGCCATTGTATTAATAAAATATTGTACCTCCAGTCAAACCTATTATTGTTTACTATGTAGGAACCTATATCTTGAAACCTGTCCATCTCGAATTTTTTCTCGTTCCAGTGAGATGCGAGATAGACAAGTTCAACTGTATATTGTCATATGAAAACAATTTTGAAAACGAAACAATTAAAACTTCATTCTTATATAATAATCTCATAAAGTACTACATTATGTGTGTTGTTATAATCATCTAGTTAGTTCTAAATTACTGTCACCAATATGTGTACATTAAATGTACTTTTCTAGCCATAAAAAAAAAAGGTGTAAAATACATGTGTATCACTTGTTTTTAAATATTATGACATCTGTATATAAAAGAATTCAGTTTTGTGTATGTCATGCTATGAAAGGCTTTATTTTGCCAAAATAAACAGTTAAAAACTCACAAATTGTTTTTTCTCTGCTCTTCTAATTTGATGTATAATATATTTTAATTCGGTAGTTCTTGAACAGTGGTCTATGGATCTCTGGTCACAAGCATACAGCCCACAGACTGACCAGGCATATTCCAAAATGCAATTGTATGCTGCTTAGTCAGAGAAAAATTTTCACACACCATATATATATATATATCAGATTATAAGATATTTTGGCACACAATCTACCATTACAAAAGGTAATATTTACAGGATAAGTGGACTGATCATACAGTCCTCAATTCATCTATGACTTGGTTTAAATGGTCTGCAGATTTGTAATTTTGAGAACTACTGTTTTAACCCTTTGGTGAGCATGCTTTTTAGAGTCATGAGAGGGCTTACTGTGGCTATTATACCACATTATATTACTTTATATTCTCCAATATTTAACTTTTATAATATCCCACTCTTCTGACTCAGTTTCAGTGTCATAAATCAGTGTCTTCTGGTTCTCTTTCCTCTATCAATTCCCTCACAACTTGTTCTAAAGCTCCATTTAGTTTCTGGGTCAAAGCTGTATGAGAACTACAAACCACAAAAATATAGGTATCCCTAAATCTGTTTGATATATTTTCAAAATAATATGTCTAAGAATTTATTGAAATTTGTCAAAGATGTTTGCAATAGGTATGCAAAAATTAAGCTATGGTTTCAAATACATAAAAATAAATAAAAAAAAAAAAAGTAAATGCAAATTATACTTGCATCACAAGACATGTGGCAAGTATACTTTGATATGTAATAACTATACAGATACAATTTTATCTAATTCATAGCTCAGACAGAATCAGTGAGGTCACGTGACATTGGTAATGACAGGACATTGTCATTACCAATGTCACGAGACAACTGAGTGACAAAATACGAAATTTATTATTATTATTTTTTTTAAATTGCCATTCTTTTCCATTGATCTATTACCCAGTAAATTTAAATATTTTTTAAGAAATTAGTTTAAAAGAATGGTTTTGTAATTAAAACATATTTATACATGATTAAAACAAAGTATAAAAAGTTTTTTGAAGAATGGCTTTTCTTTGATATGCTTAATTAACAATACTACAGTACATTGTTCCAAAACATTTTTCTTTTCTTAAGTTTGAAATAGTTTGTAACTTATAGTTCATATCTTATAACTCATATCTTGTAAGTTTTAACCATATTTATATTTATATATGGTTTACCAATATTTACAAAAAAAGAGAAAAATATCACAAAATTGTATGCTTGCTAAGTGTGCAAAAATTTTTTTGTTGCCCACTTGACTATCGCCCAGCTGTTCTGTATCCGTGGTGACATATGCTATGAATAGGGAATACCAAAGTGCATTTCTGCATCATCTATGCACATCATCTTAAAACATTATCAATATTCTATGGCAATTTGCCAAGGGTATACCCTATGAGGAGTTAATGACTATTTTAACTGATTTGAATATTGTTATTTAAAACATTTTTAAAATCAACTAAGTAAAATTGGTATACAAAGTAATTATTACACTGTTAGACAGAAAAAGTAAAACACCCAGAAGGCATTGTTGAAACTTTATTAAATGCATAACAAAATGAAAGACCAAACACATGGTAAATAATATGCATGACGTACTGTAAGTTGTAAAAATAAGGATGAGAGCTGCATAATAGTGTCCAACATAAGATTCAATATGGGATATTCCCCTCTGGAGGTGATGTGGATTGACCACTCAATGGGACAAGGAAGCATAAAGTTTCAAATAGTGTCTTGGAATAGTGCCTCCTCTAACTGCACATAGTAGTGCAAATGTTTGGATGGGTCTCTTGACATTGCAGCAGATATCCCAGCTGGTCCCATATGTGCTCCATTGGCAATAAATCTGGTGATTTCACTGGCCAAGATAGGGTGTCAATGACTTGTAGAGCTTGTTGCTCAATAGCCATGCATTATCATGCTGTGAAATGCCAGATGGAGTGTGCTCTAGAAAGAGTTAAAAATGAAGTTGTAGAATCTGTGACTTGTCATTGAGTCTGCACAAAGACATGATCTGGAATGATAACTAATGGCAGCCCACACTAACTTCAGGTGCAGGCAACCTATGATGATGATGATGATGATGAATATTTGTAGAGTGTCAACACTGACCTCTACAGTGGCATGTCCATTGTATATATTTAGACTGAAGAATGACTTGTCTGATAAAGCAATGTGATGCCATTCATTGTACCCAATTTTAATGCACCACTGCAGATGTTCCATATGATGGTTTGTTGTCAAAGGCAAATACTGCTGAGGATGCTACAATTGTAGTCCAACCTTGTTTATCCTCAGACAGATAGTTTTCTCTGGGAAACTGCAGATTGTATCAGGTCAGTCCATAAGTTCGTGCCTATTATATGACCTTGAGAAAAATCTTGTTTTGCTGTTAAAAATGCCAGTCTAATGTGATACTTTTTACATTGAAGTATTAAATTGGATCTCATTCATATAATACTGTTCAGAATTGGGAAAATTTCAGTTGTTTATTTTCGTTAAAATGGAAGTAACAGATGAATATAAGAGACATGTTTTATACTTTTTATTTTTAAGTGATGAGAATGCTACAAATGCAGCCAAAAAATTAAATACTGTTCATAATCAAACTGTAATCAGTGTAAGGACTGCGCAGAAGTGGTTTGAAAGATTTAGAAATAATGATTTTAGTGTGGAGGATAAGGCTCGTACTGGAAGACCCACTGACTTTGATGATGATGCTCTCTCTGCACTAGTTGAAGCAGAACCATCTTTAACAGTTGATAAAATTGCGGAACATTTAAATTCATCCCATTGAACTGTTCATAGACATCTACAACAAATCGGAAAAGTTTCAAAGCTAGGAAAATGGATACCACATAAACTGTCAATAGCTAACTGACAACAACGTCAACTGCTCAACTCAAAAGCTTCAACTGGGAAATTTTACCTCATCCACCATATTTGCCAGATATTGCTCCCAGTGATTATCATCTTTTTCGGAGTTTGCAGAATTTTTTAAAAGGAAAAACTTTTGAGGATGAGAACAATGTAAAAAAGGCTATTTCTGAATATTTTGATTCAAAACCGAAATCATTTTACAAAGACGGGATTAAAAAGCTATCATCAAGATGGCAAGAAATTGTACAAAATAATGGTGAATACATTATAGATTGAAATAAGATTTAATTAAAATTTTTTGTTGCTTTTTTTGTAGATAAAAATGCGCACGAACTTATGGACTGACCTGATAGTACAGGTCTCAAACCTCTCAAAATCTCTGTGGATGTTGCAATTGGGTTGACTGTAGCACATCACCAGATGTGTCTCTTCATGTTCTGTAGTGTGACATATTGCACCAGAATCTTGCCTATGTGACGTGCATCCCATGTCTGCCCATGCTGCAAGACACTGTCACAGTGCTGACTCTATGACCCATGTGTGTGGTAATTTTGTGGGCTGACCAACCAGCTATGTAAAGACAGACTCTGGCCTTATTCAAATTGATTTAATTGCTGATATTGCACTTGCTGTTGACATCCTGGAATACAGTCGACCCCCTATNGTGTAGCCACAAGTTAAATGCAAAATACATTGTTGTAAAATATGATGTAAAATGTTCCCGTTTACACGGTCTAAAAACAGTACACAGTTCCTTTATAACATAACAAAACAATTTGAACTTTAATTTCTCAAACAAGCGAGTAACGCTCTGGCACTCCACAAGTGAGCAACACTCAGGCACCCGACAATTATTTTATAACCACAACACTGGTTGTGGTTATAGCCACACAGCTACCCACTCTGGTCAGCACTGACTCGACACGCCAAAGGGAAGCGCACAATTTCTCCCTCTCTAGGCGGGACAATCTCACCTTGCATTCTTAGGGATACGATTACATCAACCCACCTGACACATGTGACAGTTCTATGGACTGTACATCAATGCTCGATAACATCCACACACCTGACACGTGTTACAACTGAACTTAACATACATATTCAAAGCAATCAACATATACATCATCCCAGTATCCACATTTGTTTAGAACTATACATTGGACACAGAACTAAAACAGTTTTAATGAAAAACACAAACATTAACAAAACATAACAAATGCTCCTTAAGTCCTCTGTGAAAAGACTGACTCTTTCTCATAAAGAGGAAGAAAGAGACCTTACAGATATTTAAAATCTGCATTACAAACACAGACACTGAGTGTTTATTCTACAGAAAAGAAGAAAATACACAATTACATAAAGTTGTAAATCTTGCAAACAAAAATAATACAACATTAAACTTAAACAACATTGACATGGGTGTAATACAGTACAGAAATGGATAGACACTGTGAAGCATTCCAGGATCTAGGAGGAGCTCTCCATCCTAATGATCTTGGACATGATCTCATTGACAGAACGCATCAAAATGCTCAGAGAATTGCATTTTGTATGACAATTGTAAACACTTCTGTCTCTAGACAGACAAATGGATTTACAATTGCCATAAAAATCAGGACAGAAATAAAACAAAATAACTACAGAAAGCACATTTTAAAAGATACAACACTGGACGGCAGTTGAAAGTGAACATTCCACTTTTAAGTACCATGTCTGAATTAGGTTGAAATTAGTGTGATTTAAACTTCATTCACAGTCAAAGGTGCATTGATTAATTCAGCTGAGTAACTGCAGTGGCTAGTTCACCCTTATTACTTAATATGTCATTTTAAAATACTATATATTATTTATATAATAATAAATTCAAAATAGACATAACATTATATACTGTTTTGAAACTCGAACACCAACTATATAGTGTATTCACTCGGACACAAGGCAAATCTCATCAATTTTTATTTAGTATCAACTAAATAAAAATTAATGAGATTTGCCTTGTGTCCGAGTGAATACACTATATAGTTGGTATTCGAGTTGCAAAACAATTACTGGCACAGTTTCATAAGTACTAAATTATATACAGTGGGTGATCGGTTAATGAACATAATTTGTTCCAAGACTTTGTTTGCTATCCGAATTGTTCGTTAACCGATTATCGATTTACCATAGGTTTCTATGGGAATTTGATTAATTCATTCTGGAAACCCCCCAAAAATAAAAAAAAATATATCCTTTCTGACTACATTTATTCACATGTAATAATAAAAATACATATATACACGGTCTTGCTTTTTTATTAGTCATGTTTTTTCCGTTTGTGGGAGTTAAAGAATCTGCCCAATGTCGCTTGCTTTTCTCTCTTCCTCATGATTTTTTGTAATTAATAGCATTGTAATTGTAGAGATCCCTAGGCCTATTAACCTCAATCTAGTTTGGATGCCATTNATCTTTAATAGCAGATATCGGCATAAATCTGCATTTTCAGAAGAAAACGTAAAAGAATTGTTTCTGTCAGAAATATAAAAGGCTGGAATTACAAGGGAGAGTTTCAAAGTTCGGGGGACTATTATTTGATCAGTATATACTGGGTAGAACGTCGATGTCTCCTGTGCTCCGAAAAGTTTTGAATTGTTGCTTGAAGACAAAGGAAGACCAATTGGTATTCGTTATTTTATGTCGCTTCTTCTTGTGTTTGTTCAGTGAAGTGTTTGTTATCCGAACATGTGTTCGTTGTCTGACCATAAAAATCTTTTGCAAAAGTGTTTGTTATCCGATTTGTTCGTTAACTGATCACTCACTGTACTGTATTTTATTTGTACTATGTTTTGAATTTTATCAGGTCAGTCCATAAGTTCATGCATATTTTATGACCTTGAGAAAAATCTTGTTTTGCTGTTAAAAATGCCAGTCTAATGTGATACTTTTTACACTGAAGTATTAAATTGGATCTCATTCATATAATACTGTTCAGAATTGGGAACATTTCAGTTGTTTATTTTCGTTAAAATGGAAGTAACAGATGAATATAAGAGACATGTTTTATACCTTTTATTTTTAAGTGATGAGAATGCTACAAATGCAGCCAAAAAATTAAATACTGTTCATAATCAAACTGTAATCAGTGTAAGGACTGCGCAGAAGTGGTTTGAAGGATTTAGAAATAATGATTTTAGTGTGGAGGATAAGGCTCGTACTGGAAGACCCACTGACTTTGATGATGATGCTCTCTCTGCACTAGTTGAAGCAGAACCATCTTTAACAGTTGATAAAATTGCGGAACATTTAAATTCATCCCATTGAACTGTTCATAGACATCTACGACAAATTGGAAAAGTTTCAAAGCTAGGAAAATGGATACCACATAAACTGTCAATAGCTAACTGACAACAACGTCAACTGCTCAACTCAAAAGCTTCAACTGGGAAATTTTACCTCATCCACCATATTTGCCAGATATTGCTCCCAGTGATTATCATCTTTTTCGGAGTTTGCAGAATTTTTTAAAAAGGAAAAACTTTCGAGAATGAGAACAATGTAAAAAAGGCTATTTCTGAATATTTTGATTCAAAACCGAAATCATTTTACAAAGACGGGATTAAAAAGCTACCATCAAGATGGCAAGAAATTGTACAAAATAATGGTGAATACATTATAGATTGAAATAAAATTTAATTAAAATTTTTTGTTGCTTTTTTTGTAGATAAAAATGCGCACGAACTTATGGACTGACCTGATAAAATAAAATTTTTATAACAGTGTAAAAATATTTCATATTACCAAAATTTTATATTCAAAAAATTGATTATTTTCTTTTTAAATTTTAGGTGCTGATTCTTTTAATTATCCACAAATTGTCTGTGATGTTTATTTTCCACCACACAAAGAATGTGGTGGAGGAATTCTAGCTTTAGATGGAAACAGTGGTCATGAACTTTGGAGATATTACACTTTACATGAAATATTTGCCATTAATTGTAATATTGATATTGATAAAGATGGAGTTAAGGATTGCTTAGGAGGAGGAAGAATGGCTGTGAGTTGATTAAATAATTTGATGAAATAGTTAAGAAACAATATAATTAGTAGGTAAATTCAATTTGCACTCTTCTGTTAGTCTTAGAAATAGTAAAGTAGAATGTTATAAAAGTTTAAACAGAAAAATACAGATAAAAGACATCTGTCTTAAATACAGTTTATGTCAATTTGATTAAAAACATTAACCAAATTGTGATAGTTTCAGTTTTCTTTGTCTTTTAATTTTTCATTACTTTATAATGGAAGCAGTCATATTTAAATTTCCTACAAAAAGTAAGTTATGATTGTCTCACCATCTATTTTATTTTCTGTCTCTTCTAATGTTGTAGTGTTTTTTTTTTTTCATGGGGATTTAGCCACATATTCATTGGGAGTTATAATTGCAGTTCCACTCTACTATACATAGTTCCATTTTTATTTTATTTTAAAACAAATATTTGTAAAAAGAAATTTGCCCTTTATTAAAAATGAGGATGATATTAATTACACAATAATGCTTATAGTATAGCATATGTAATTATAATAAGTCATAGAATTCAAATTTCACATGTTATCAAATTTTAAAATAAATTAACCGTTAATGTTATTTTTACTAACAAAAAACTAAAATATTTAAGACTGGTTTTTTATTAATAAAGAAACATTTTATGTATTTCATTTGTTCCAAGATAAATGGAAAATGGGGCCTACTCTACTCCCAGATCTGATACAAGTTCTCAATGGCCCTGACACTGAGACCAAACCAACAGACTTTTACATAGGGGAAAGTTTGACTCTAAGATACAGAGGTTTGAAGAATTGAAACAAAACATTGGTTTGAAGAAAAACTTCAATATTTCAATGAAGTTTTTCTTCAAACCAATGTTACGGATATTTCTGTGGTTGTGTTAATGGATTAATAGATAGACTCAAAAAATTAAAAATTTTTTGTAAATAGTCTGAACTTCTAATTGGAATTGTATACGTAAAAATAATATTAAAGTAGCCAAGACATAGCCAAATATTGTTGCACCACATCACTAGTGGACATTTGAATTTGCCGACTAGAACATGGTCAGTTAACCGATGTGACGGTTGATTGGGGGTCGGATAATCGATGCTCTACTGTACTATCATCTTGCACACATCATTAAAAGATAAAAAATATTTGAAATACTGTAATTATAAGTATTTTTTGAGTTTGGGTCCCCCTTCTGGGTTCTAACCTAATCTACATATTTTTGAAAGATTACTAAAATATATCAAAAATTGCTAAATTCCTTTCCTGCTACTGTCGCAATTAAGTGATTAAATTATGTATTAATTTATTAGTTTGGTTTCCGTTCTTTGAGATTTGGCCCAATAAAGCAGCTGCCCTGATTAACTGGTGTCCCAATTAAGCAAAATCCACTGTATTTCCAAAATATTATATGTATGTTTTGTATTAATACAAGTAAAGACAAATTATTCATATAATTCATTTGAAATAATAATTAAATGAAAAATTATTATTATTTATAGGGATTTATTGCATTGAGTGGTAGAGATGGTAGTTTACTTTGGAAATTTAATGATCCGAAAGTGAAAATTCCAACATCTAATTTTTATACTCCTATTTATATAAGAGATTTAGATCATGATACAATTCCAGATATTATTACTATTCATGGAGGAGATCCGCTAAAAGAACCAGGTGAGTTTACACACAATTTTTTATTGAAAAAAATTTTCTTATGCAATTTAAATTACTTACTATATACTGAAAATTGATTTTATTTTACAATTAAAATGTTTTTATAATTATTTCATAAGGCAGTGAAAAACGCTTGGTTGGAAGAATACTAGTTATAAGTAGTAAAACTGGTAAAGTATTGCAATGGGTTGAAGTTCCTGATGGTAAAGAAAGTTATTATTCACCTCAAATATATACTCAACCAGATGGTAATGTATCTTTTTATAATAATTTTTAAAAATAAATTGTTATATTGAAGTTAGTTTTGATCAAAAACATGTTAATTATACAATATATATTTTATCATTAATCAATTTATATCAATGATAAAAAACATAATATAATTACTATATATTAATGACTATTACATACAATATTTATAATAATGATTCTCAATTAATTAATAATGCTTAGTGTATTATAAACGACACAACTGACCAGATAATATAATACAAATAACTCTTTATTAATATAACTAAACACTTCTATATCCAGCTGGTTCCCTTGAGCTACTCCCTCACTGTCCGTTTTTTCCACACCCTTTCTCAACCCCTTTAAACCCGTGTTGCCACCTTGGCACCTACACAATTACATTTAATGTTTATTTAAATCAACAACATATATTACACTTAGAAATCCTATTTATAATTTCTGAAATAAAAATATATTACAGTTATAAAATAATTTACAGGAAAAATGATGATAAGACTTAGGCCAGTAGTTCCCAAAAGTTTTTGATTCTAGGCACCCTTGCTAAATGCAGATTTTCCCAAGGTGTCCTATGTCAAATTCTAACAAGTACATTACAGTCGACCCCCCTATAAGATCATTGATTTTTCCGTTTTATCTGAATTACATGTTGTACGAGTCACTTAGATTTTACAAATATGTGAGCCGTTCACAGTCCGGCACACGTATTTGTAAAATCTAAGTGACTCGTACAACATGGAATCCATATAACACAGAATTATCTACAGTGTTAAAGAGAGGTCTACTGTACAGGACCCACCAGTGGCTGAGTGGCCTGAAGACCGTAAGATTCCCCTCATCTCGTGTAGAGAATGAAAAACTTAATCATGATCTTAATATGTACAGAAACACATTAATCATCCGGATATCTTCTATCAATACAACACAATTCAATAATTCCCAAACTTTACATCTTAAATTTGAAGATTTAAAAGGATAAATATAAATTTTATATCCGTGACGTTTAACTTAAGCATAAATGGCTTTCATACTACTGTATTTGCAAAATCAGACAATTTCTTATATATTTAATGCAAATTTAATCATGTAAACATAATAAAGAGACTTAACGAGAAGACAGATAAGTTTTGTGTCTTGATTGACGTGCTTGGATGAACTAGGAGTAAGACTATTTATAAGAATCGTTTCACGTTGACGCCCTTTTCTTGTAAACAAGAAACTACCATCCGAATTTTATCGAAGTTTCCCTTATATCCATCGTCTCTAGTTAATGTTCGATGATGTAACTGCACTTTTTCTTGTTGATAACCATTAAAAACAATTGCTTTCGCTTCAGCTGAACTTCTTAATGAAAAAGAAACAATCGTTTAAGAATTTCTGTAGTGTTTTCGTTTCAATTTTAAGCCATCAATAAAATCGATCATATAATTATTAATTTAATAATACGTCAGTAATTTCTCTGGGGTAATTACTGTATTCATTTCATCCAATACATTAGGCACAGTTCACACTACACGTTGTACAGTACTTGTAAAATATTGACATCTGTAAACAAAACCTTTCAAACTTGTTTCATTAGTAGAAAAATTTTTAAAATTTTTATTTTGAGTTAATTAATTATTTTATTTTTATTCAGAAATAAGCGATGATTTTGGTAGAAACGTATAGCATAACAAACATCTTATAAGAAAGGGAATAATGTAAAAGACATTTTTCACCCCTTTAGCGTTACATCTCCACAAAATTCTGCTTTTAATAATTAAAATACAGTCGACCCCCCATAACACTGTTGATAATTCCGTTTTATATGAATTCCATGTTGTACGAGTCACTTAAGATTATACAAATACTTGTGCCGGGCTGTGAACGGCTCACGTATTTGTAAAATCTAAGTGACTCGTACAAAATGGAATTCATATACAACGGAATTNGGCACTGGAGGAGAAACTCATGGTGGCTCTTTGTGGTGTATTAAAGTTGAAGATTTATTAAAAGGAAATATTAGTATGGTAACAATTTCCCCCTCTTATTTAAAATAAAAACATACTGATAATTTATAAGAATTTTTAAGACCAGGAAAGAAAGTAAGAAATTCATTTTAAATTAGTACAATTAAAGTTTAGAATCCAGAATTATTAAATGCAGTCATTTCCCAATTTATAATCTCTTGACATAACAATCAGTACTTAAAATGGCTAAAACTGGTATATTGAAAACTCATTTAGGAGTCCAAATAATCAGTTGCACTCACAGCATATTCTAAATTTTCTGTACAATCACTCTTTTCGAGACTATCATTCTAATTTCAAATTTGTAGTAAAGTTAAAGTAAATTACAGTAATAATAAGTTACCAGTAAATAAATAAAAATTAACAGTGAAAATAAAATACATTCTATATTAAAGCTGAAATACCTTCTAAATTTGATGGTGATTCATTTGAATGTGATAGTTGTCTTCATATTTTTGTTCACTTTTGTATTAATACAATAACTTATCATATCTCATGTCTACTCCTACCATTTTGCATCATTTGAATGTGTCATACTTTGTCAATTGATATTTTAATATGGATAGAAAACAGGATAAATGTGTTATAGTTATGTTACACTTGAAATTTATAAGATTTACGATATAATTGGTTAAACTTAGTTACATGAATAAAGAATGAAAGACAAATTATTCGATGGAATTTTAATACTAGAAAGGGGAGAGTAAAAAGATTCCATAAAAGAATCTAAAATGTTCATAATTTAAAATGAATTTTACATTGTATTTGTTCATATTCCAGGCTAAACAAATTTACACTGATCATAAAAAGGGTATTATGACACCTCCTGTTTTAGTTGATATAACTGGTGATGGAATAATTGATATTGTTATGGCTATGTTCAATTCGAAAGTTATAGCATTTAATGGAATTGATTTCAAGCAAATCTGGTCATTTCATATTCCTTCTTCAGAGTCTTACAGGTAATTTATCTTATATATTATTATAGGTCTTAAAATTAAAAAATCTTATTATTTGATATGAAAAATGTAATTTTTTTTCATAATTTCTAAATTTTAAATGTGAAATTAATGTTAATATATAATAGCTGATTTTATAAAAACATTTGAAAAGTTAAATTTAGTTATAATTAAATTAGTTTTTTCTTTTGCAGTACTCCAGGTGTTGGATTTTTCAATAATGATGATATTCCTGATTTTATTATAAACTATCAAATTGGTCCAGGATTTCCCATTTATTATTATACTGAAGTGAGTTATAATATAATGATAAAGAAATATTTTAAATACGTTATTTTAAATTATTTAATACGAAAATTTATTTTAGTAATTTTTTTGTATAGACAACAATTTTGGATGGAAGAAATGGAAAACCTTTATTAGATAATCCTATTAAAATGGTTGTTGGAACCCAAACATCTCCTCTTGTTATCAGTTTAGAAGGTTTTGGAAATGATATATTTCTATATTGGATATCTGACTGTAATGGAAACAGAAAAAATCAGAATTTAGAATATGATTTTATTAAAGGTATGTTTTAGACATGAAATTTAAAATTCATGTATGGTAACTATTTTATAAAGAAATAATATTCAATTTCAATACTGAACCAAATATCCTGCTTCCAGAAAACTGGCTATTTTTTTTTTTTTGAAACTGATTAGTTTTCAATTTGGTGAACTGTTGTACTGTGTAGTACTAAGTGACTACAGTACTTCCTTTTGGTTTCCTTCGCATATGCTTTGCAAAACACTAGTTTCAGTGTGACTGCTGGCATACTGATGTGTTAAATACAATTTTGTTTTTACTTTCCTCCATTGTTTATTTTGTATTTTAAGTATAAATTTAACTTGTGTTTAGAAAACCAGAATATGCAGAAATCTGGACCACTTCCAGTCTCAAGCTTGCTGGCTGTTTGGTCCAGTTCTGTATTTCTCTGAAACTATTTTCAATTAATCTCAAATAGAAAATATTTTTTTTTTCTCAGTGTTTTATCTAGAGCTTCTTTTAAAAGTTTTTCTGATGCTTCTGGCAATTATTTAGTTGTTATTACATGTGGTTTAGCATTCCTCTTGAGAGTTATTTTAAATTTTACTCTTCTTGTATCACCTATTAAACCTATAGAACTGGTTATATAAACAAAGAACAAAATACATTTCACAGTTTGTTTAACAGAAAAGTTGGCACTAGAAAAAAAAGGGAGGTTATCATAACTAATCGTTCTCTAAGGAATTCTCATCAATTTTTTAAATTGATGCAATTGAAAAATATTCATTATAAAACCATACAAATGAAATAATACAGCCATAATCTAAATATATAAAATTGCTTGTCCTGACTGACTCACTGACTGACTGATTCATCATCGCCCAGAGCAAACCGCTTAACCTAGAGAGGTGAAATTTGGTAGACAGTTAGGGTACGTCATGGAAACGCACACTAAGAAGGGATTTTTCGAAATTCCCCCGCGGGGGGAGAGGGAGAGGATTAAGGCTTAACCGGAAAAACGGCTTCTACTGTACTATTTTAGATGCGACTTTTTCTTTTTATATGCGTTTTAGTAGGGTATGCCATGGGAATTCACACTAAGAAGGGATTTTTCGAAATTCCCCCACGGGGGAGAGGATTAAGGCTTAACCGGAAAAACGGCTTCTACTGTACTATTTTAGATGCGATTTTTTGTTTTCAACTACGTTTAGTCTTCATTGAGTACTTAGGTGTATTAAATTGATAACATTTCAGATATTTCGATTTTAAAAATGTTCGATCCGTTTTAAATTTGAATTTGTTATTGCATATTGGTTCGATTATAGAACGATTGTAAATGTTCCAGAAAATTGATCAAATTGAAGATAGTTCGTTTGATTCTCGGCAATTCTCTTCAGCGGTAGGTGTTATATGACAATTACTATGGTTATTGAAATATTGAATGTAAATGGGGTTTGCTTACAAAACCTCTGCGGACGAAGTTGCGGGTAACAGCTAGTAGATTATACATGCAGATAAGGTTACAAGAAATCCTGCTTTTTGACCATCTTTCCTCCCAAACAGGTCATCTGTCCTCCTCCTGGAGGCTGAGTGGTGTAAAGTTGACAACACTGGTTGACAGTGCATCCTCCATGTGCTACACCATGTCCTGTTTATATGACTATGTGGTGTGTTCTCTTGCTAGCTAGCTCATTCTCAGTAGACAGTGTGTCAGGCTGTGGGAAGATGACAAGCGATTTGCTTTTCCTTTTTACCCACATTCCATTCCCTTCGATTCCAGAGACTGACAAACAAAAGTGCCTTCCTTTAAGGCAGCTCAGTTGTGTAGTCAATGATAAGCCATTACAATGGGTAAGAGAAAATCGATTTTCACATCTGATATGGAAGGAACCTTTAAGTTGTCCAGGAAACTACACCATCCCCAAGTAGCTGTGCAAACCACTTTGCATGGGAAAGGAAGATCGGATCCTAAAGACAGTGTTCCTGTTACTTACAACCCGTATCTACAAAAGCTTTACTCTCAGATTGCTAGGAAGAAATGCATCAGCATCGCACATAGGAGATGTCCTAGTGTATTTGATCTACTCTGCAATGCTAAGGGTACTCCCAGCCAGGAGATGCTATCTGGAGTTTATATCATCCCACTAAAAGATCATAGGTATGATGAGGATTTAATATACATTGGCTCCACTAAGCAGTCATTAGGAGTGAGACTAAAGGAACACAAAGCGGACATACAGTGCAAGAGAGTAACAATTGCTCTAGCTCGTTACGCTACAGATTCTTATATCCAACCAATATTTAACGAAGCCAGGATCATCCATACCACGCCTCATATGGAGCATTTGAGGTGGATGGAGGCAATTTATATGTACAGAGCTGGCCAAGATAACAAATGTATTAACAATAAAGAGGAGTTATCCCTATCATGGCAAACACTTATATATGACAAATAAAATCTAAAACATATATAAATTTTTGCTTCCAAGGAATGCGCATGCCCATTGGTGATAACAGCTGCAGAAATAATCATTCAATTCGACAGATCAAGTCTCTTTCAAATTGTTTTCCATCGAATGTATTTTACAATTTCTGTTATTCACCTGATGAAGAACCTTATGATGGTTCGAAAACGTTTGTGAGAACTTTTTATTTTTATTTAATGTTGCACCGTAAAAGATTTGTGGATGTAAATTTTCTAACCTTTAAGTTCTTTAAGAAAGCATAAAACCAACAATAAAGCAAGTATCTGGTGTGCAAATTTGGATCTACATTTGTATCTGTTGCAAACCATGGCAGTACAGGTAGGCCTCCTACAATGCGGCACCTTTACAACGCGTTTTCGCTCCAACATGGTTGGAAAAATGCGGAAATTTTCTTACAACGCGGTACTTTTATAATGCGGTTTACGGTATTTAGAAACGAATTATCTTTCACATAACAGAAAAATTGCAACGGATAACGTAATATGCGCCGCAGTTCAGTGTACAGAGCTAAATGTCCTCAAAAACAGCTGTTTGTCCACGTTGACGTGTTATTCCCATAATAGTTTCAGGGGAAGACCAGTTTCTAGACAGATATGTATCAGTTACCATAAACACTCAAATATATCACTGAATTTTCGATAATTTATACTCTTTCAATAAGTGGGGACCACAAAAGTGGTCCAAAATACAGTATAAACTTCTATTGGGTGTATATTTTTAACAACATAGTGAAGAAAAGTTATTTTTTTGATTTTTACTGTCCACAAAACTGCTTGAAAAAATTTTAGCCACAACAATGTCGAATGAAAAGAAAGGACCGTCGTTAAAAAGGAAATTTATATCTCTTCAAACAAAGGTAGAAATTTTGGATTGAATTAAAAATCAAGAGTGGATAGATGATATTGGTAGGCATTTTAATTTAAATGAGTCAATTATTCAATTGATTAAGCAATAGTAAGAAAAGATTAGGAATTCAGTCGCATCCGGATCATCTATTCTTGCGAAAAATGTTGCTCGTCCCAGAGCACCTATAATGAAAAAAAAAAAAAAAAAAAAAAGGAACAAGCGTTAATATTATGGGTAGAAGATATGAACAAAAAACAGTTGCCTTTAAATAAAAGTGCAGTTAAACACAAAGCCTTAAAAATATTTGATTATTTAAAATAAATAGGGCAGTCGTCGGCTGATGAAACCAGTGTTAAATTCGTGGCTAGCAATAGCTGGTTTGAAAACTTCAAAAAAACGCCATTCAAATGCCAAGTTTTTCTCTTTTTAGAACCGAATCCCAGTTTTTGTATTAAGTTGGTGTCTCCTATAACGCGATTTCCCACAACGCGATATTTTCAAGGAACATATCTACCGTGGTGTAGGAGGCCTACCTGTACTTCTCTTCAGAAACCATAGAAACCAACAAACATAAGACAAGTGTGAGAAGAACAGCAAGCAGTTCAAAAATGATTATTTTATAAAATCTGACTCTTAGGAGGATGAGAATGTGCATGCTTCAGAAGCAATATTTTGCTACCATATAGTTGCACATCATACTAGTTACAATACTATGGACTGTACATCATGAGTTAAACTCAGAAATTTTTCCTGATTCAGAAATATCAAAGAAAATTGTGTGCACTTCAACCAAAGCAAAAGCAATAATAAATGGTGTAATTGGCCCTCAATCCATTGACAAAGCAGTTTTCTCAATTAGAAATGTTTCTTATGTGGATATCTCTACAGATGGTTTGAATCATGCCAGTACCAAGATGTTTCCCATAGTGGCACAGTACTTTAATTCCAAAGAAGGCAGACTTGTTCAAAATTAGTTGATCTAGAGTAGGGGTCCCCAAAGTGGTAGATATCGACCTCAAGGGGTTGATAAGAGTTTTTCAGGGGTCGATTAATACACAAGGGTCAAAAGGGGGTCAATTAATACCAAAGAGGATCAATTAAACTGTCTAGGAAAAAAATAGAATACTGTATTTCAATAAAAATTTGAAATACGGATATGATCAACATTACTGACTACAATAGTTATAACTTGAGTTTTGTCTTAGCCTACGCCACTTTAAGCATGTGTTACTCTGTTTTCACACATCTGGCAACTGTACTAGTGTTGCAAACATGTTATGAACACTGGTAGTTCATTATACTCAGACATATGTTGTATTGTTACACTCTAATAGAGTTGTCACTTTAAGTATTTTATATCTAAATGTAGATATTTTGTCCTTTGCAGAGAAAATATTATACTGTAATATATCGAAAATCATTAATATAGTACAGAAGCATTTACAAGGAAAAACGTTAAATTGTTCAAGTTCGAACAATCATAATGTCCTTTCAAGTAAAAACGGAGCTATTTAAATCTTCGCTGGCACGATCCGATTTTAAATATTTTTCAAACTTGTGAGTACTAAAAGAAAATGAAAAGATTTCCGACTGTGATTTGGAGATATATATTAAACATCTTGATAAATTAAGAGAAGACTTTAAAGCACATTTTGAAGACTTGGAGAATATGCATGTTCCCGAATGGTTTGCTAATCCATTTGATGTAAAAATAGATAATGAAGATAGTGAACCTGGCTTAGAAGATGAACTGATTGAAATATGTGTAGATCTCAAAGCTAAAGCGTTGTTTAAAAATAAAAACCTTAGTGAATTTTGGAGCAATAGCAATATTGCCACTAAATATCCCAAGCTCAGAGCAGAAGCCGAACCTTTCTTACTTTCATTCCCAACTTCATACATGGTTGAAGCTGGTTTCAGCCACGTGAATGCAATTTTGGCAAAACAGAGGAACAGATCAAACATGGAAAACCATGGTGATTTGCGACAAAAACTTACCAATTTTCAACCGAATATCAACAATCTTGCTGCTTCTCTTCAGACACATCCATCTCACTAATATCAACTATTTTAATAAAAAGGTATGTTAACATATTTTTAAGGTATTCATTAATAGTTGCAAAATGACAGTAAGAGGTTTTTTCAACCAATATAAATTATGTTATGTTTTCAAAGATAATTGTATATTTTATGTATTATGACATGTACGGTTTAAGAACTATAGGCAAATTTCCATCTATTCATAATTTTGCTATTATTTTTTAAGATTATAAATCAGTGGAAAATATCTCCTTTTTCCATTAATGTTATTAGGTGGATTTTATAAGATATGGGAATTCTTTTGTTGGGTTGTTATGCAGGTCTCCTTATCGCTTAATATCAGAAATGCAAAAATGATTTAATGTTTTTGTTAAATACTTAATCTGGGGGTCGATAAGAAGGCAAATATTCTATAAAGAGGTCGACAGAATAAGAAGTTTGGGGACCCCTATCTAGAGTATGAAAAATGCAGATATTATAGCCATTGTAGTTAAAAATTGCCTTGAAGAGAAAGACATTGTAAGTAAATGTATTGCCTTTGGAGGTAACAGCTATAACACAAACTTTGGTGGACATGGCAGGCATGAAAAAAAAAATTAATGTATATGTCAAACTAAAAGAACTGATAAACGATGAATTGGTAGGGGTTGGTGCCCATATCTTACATAACTGTGTGCAGCATGGTATAGATTTATTATCCTTTGATATAAGGGTGGATCAAATATAAACAGGATTTATTTTATGTTTTAAAATTATTTACAGTCGACCCCCCTATAAGATCATTGATTTTTCCGTTTTATCTGAATTACATGTTGTACGAGTCACTTAGATTTTACAAATACGTGTGCCGGACTGTGAATGGCTCACATATTTGTAAAATCTAAGTGACTCGTACAACATGTAATTCAGATAAAACGGAAAAATCAATGATCTTATAGGGGGGTCGACTGTATTAAAAAATAAAAATCATTATGATTTATTTTTCTACATAGCTTCCTGCTATAGAAATACATTTTTCCTAGCAAGAAGGAAGGTTTCTTATTCCAGTATTGTAGAATGAAGTTGGTTGTGTCAGAAGCCAGTTGCGCACGAATTCTTCCACTCCTGATCATCTTCGAATCGCTGCCCTCCTATAGCTTCTTTAAGTGGCCCAAACATGAAAATTACAGGGCGATAGGTCCAGGCTGTAGGGAGAATGATCAAGTGAGGTCCAGTGCATTTCGTTAAGTTTTGAGACTGTTAGAGCCGCAGTATGGGGCCTGGCATTGTCATGGAGAAGAATGACATCTCGAATCAGTTGGTTTCGTCCAATATGCAGCCTTAGCTTTATCCAACAGCTTGCAATAGTAAGCAGCATTGATTGTGCTTCGAATAAGGTCTCAAACTGCTCGAATGTTTTTGCTTGTAATGCTGGTCCGAGGATGGCGATCGTGTTTCTGATTTTCCACTCATATCCGTCCTTCCTTGAACTTTTTATGCCAGGCAAACACATGAGTCCTTGACAGTGTTTGATCCCCAAACTGTACAGTCAATCTGCAAAAAATTTCTGTCACATTGATTCCTTCAAAAGCAACAAATTGTATGATTATGCATTGCGCAACAAAGGGGTGTATCTGTTGCTCCGACATTGTGAGCACTACTGACGAATTGGTTTAAAGTATGAAACGGCCAGTGTTCCCCACTCCTAATGACCTTACCCAATCAGACCAGACGTGTGGACCCTGTACTGCCAACCTTAGTTGCTCAGGAACAAAAATCCCGTTTATATTTGATTCACCCTCATACTAAGAGCTTCATCTTAAAGATTTTCAACTACTTCTACACTTACACTGTTCTTGCTGCAGAGTTAATGGAGTTTTGCAACTTTGTAGATATAGGCTATGCTTCTTTGCTTTCACATTTGAAAACATGCTGGCTCTTTCTCTTTCCAGTTTTTGAGTATTGAAAATTTACCCTGCATTTAAATCATATTCCTTGCTTCAAGAGAACAGACATACTATTCTGAATAAAGTTCTAACAAATGAACTGTGTGAAAATTATCTCTGCTTTTATCATTCATTAATGTCTATATTTCACGAGAGAATTCTTTAAGTTGGGAAAGAAGATAACAATATGATAGAACTAATTAATATCATGTAGGACACAGTGAAAGTATTGGAAAGTCATTTGACTTTCCAATACTTTCAGTGTCCTGCATGAAATTTAAGGAAAATTTGAAACCATTTGAAATTTAATTAAAATTTCATACCATTAAAAGTTAAAGGATTCCTCCAACAAAAAACTGAGCAAGGCTCAAGGAACACTTCAAAAGTTAAGTGGCTATTTAAATAAAGTACAGTACTTAATTAGTTACAAGTAAAAGAGATAAATAGCATCTGCAGCAAAAGGGAGTACCCATAAATGACACAAAATTATTTGATCAGTAGCAAAACCTTCAAAATTATTTGGAAGAAAGTGAAAACCCACAGCTCTCCACCATATCTTGATATTTAATTAATTTAAATTCAGTTGTAGTTCAATCTTGATAGATGGAGACAGCAACTAGATAGATGAAAACAGCATACCATGAAGTAAATTTGCTTTTGTGTATAAGGTTGCATAATCTCTGGAGTAAAGCATTGGGACCAGTTATATTATCCCAACTGCTTTTATTATAATATAAAGCATTTTAATATGAATTCAAGACAAAATCCATTAAAAATTTGTGACACACAAGTGATAGAGTAGATGAATATGAATTACCTTTGCTTCTTAAGACTTATAATAATTTGTCTATTAAAATGAGTGCCAGTACTTTTAATAATGTGTTATTTAATTAAAAAGATATCTTATTAAAAATGAATATTGTCATCTAGATTCTTTTGATTTTGGCTTTATTATTATATAGAATAGATTATTCAAAGATTGCTCAAAGATAAATTGCAACAGTTTATCTTTGAGCAATGTTAAAAATTATATGTAGTATATCTTGTAAATGGAAATAATCTACTAAAAAAATCTAAACTTGCATTTATCATTCAGAAAAACAAATTAAAGAATTTTCATGATTACATTTTTATCAACTAGGTTTTACCCTGCTATACCCTGGTGTTGCCTGGGCAAAAAAATAAGAATAAACATTAAGATTAGCTAATTTCATACTTCTAATTTTCTATTGTATTATATTGTAGAATTTGGTTTATATAACTACAAAGGCTATCTTATATAGCCAATTTTACCCATTTTCATGGGTGGAAGAATTAAGTCCCCCCTCTTCCAAGGCTAATTAGAGAATTATTAGATGGGTCTACAAATATCTTGGATTTCCTGCAAAAATGCAAAACAATGAATCTAAAATAGTACAGTAAAATCTTAGAGAATCCTTAACTCTCTCCCTCTCTACCCCTGAGAAGGGGAAATTTCCAAAGATCCATTTTCTTAGTGTGCAATCTCATGACATACCCTAAGTGTGTACCAAATTTCAACTCCTAACAGTTTGGGCTCTGCACTTATTGTTATTATCATCAACTCATCTTGATTATATTATATGATTAGGGTCAAATTTATAAGAAATTCCGTTTTCACTATTCTATTTATTGAATATCTAATAGAAAAAAATGATTAAAATCATAATAAATCTTTAGTATTTAAAAAGTTTTTTTTATTTAAGTAACCTAAAAAATAAAAAATTAAATAATTTATAAAATTAAAAAAATCAGAAAATTTTTCATTATAATGGAGAATTAACTGACTTAACCTTTCTTGAATAAAATGATTAATTTTAAATTCTAAAATCTAAAAAAACTTGTTTGGAACATTACATTTCAAATTTGGAACAAATTCAAATATTCGCTCAAATTCATTTATTTTGGATTTATTGTTTTTGCTTTATCCGAAAGGTGAAATAATTAAAATATTTATTATTTGCCAAAATGTATACTATATGTGCCACTATTTATTTTCCTTCTTTATTATTTACACTTTATACTGACTAAAACTAACTTTCTCCTCCTCTTCCCTCAAGAGGTGGAATTTCCAAAATTCCCTTCTTAGTGTACATTCTAATGGTGTACCCTAACTGTGTACCAAATTTCAACTTTCAACACCTAACTGTTTGGGCTTTGCACTTATAATATAATCAAGATGGGTTAATAATAATAATAAGATAAGAGCAACTAAATATGATTTGACTATTTTTACTTTATTGAAATGTATAACTGTAAATTTAAATTCTTTATCATCTAGTTGCTCCATTCATAGCTAGTTAAATCTATGATGGGTGTAAACAAAGATTCTTTATTTTCTTTATTTTTTGCTTAATTTTAAGAGTTTAAGTTTGTAAAATTAATATTAATTTGGGAGAAAAACAAAGCAATCTTGTGGCTTGTTAAATTGGACCCAAGTAAGTAAGTAATGAAGTAATGAAAGTAATGAATATTTTCTCCATAATAATAGAAATAATATACAATTTATATTGTTTCATTTAAAGACTTTCATTACAGGGACAAGTGTTCATGAACAGTCCAGAGCAGATTTCTGTAAAATACGTTTCAAAGAAAAATTATTTACAAAAATGTTTGGATTAACAAGCAAGATGAGTCCACCTGGAGTTAATATTTATGATTCAGGTGAGAATTTTTCAAGATAAAATTTGCAAGATAAAATTTTATTCAAATAAAGTAAAGTATATTTGAGAACACAATATAAATATTTCAAAGTTTTTTAATGCAACAGAAATAACTGGTGATAATTTGCATCAGCTAATTTTTTAGAAACTTACCACCAATTATTTCTGTAACATTAATAATATAAGTTACATCTTCCGAGGTAAAATATTAAAAAATATTTCAAATTTCTTAATTTTTTAATATAATATTTATATTATTTATTATTATTAAAATAATTCAGAAAATGCTTTCATTTTTAATGTTATCTCTAATAGTATGTTTATTTAGTTAGATATTAGTTTGCCACCTTCTGAAAAACAGCTGACCCGGACAGCAGGTCAGGTTTGTTCAAACAGAAGTTCCTGACGCATGTGCAATGTCATTTTACAATGCGAAGAATAACATGCATGGCGGTTCTAAATCAGTTACAGTTAGGGACTAGGGACTTGCATAGGAGTAACCTAAATTAAGAAAGAACAGGTACAGATGACTTAACTCTATTGGATATTGGAGAGACATGTATGATCGTACACGTATCTCCAATATTCATGTTTTTTGCATGTACAATCATACATGAAAAAAAACAACAACAAAAAAAAAATCAACAGGTTGTGCGCCACACGTTGGCATAAACAGACTAACATGGCAGAATTGCAGATGAGTTTCAGTGAGTGTGAGTTCTTTTGCTGTTAAAATAGTGTAAATTTGTAAAAATATTTGCAAGAACTTTGTTTCATCGTAATTTCACAATTTCTACGAAATTCCCGGACAAAATTAATAGTTCACCCGGACAGTGAGTCAATTCCCAGACTGTCCAGATGAAAACCAGACGAGTGGTAACACTATTAGATATATATACTTCTTTTTTAATAAAAATCTAAAAGAATTGAAATATATATAAAACTTTTAATTTTGGTTTCTGTTTCAATGTGTATGCAAACTGGATTATATTTTAAATTTAAATGTTATTTAATTTAATTTATAGTATTCTATTTGATTTCATAGATATTCTTTTAAATTTTAATGTATAGGTATGTTCTTCAATTTCATGAATATTTTATTCCATTCTCACTTAATTTTGTTTGTTGAAGACATCCCAAGAGCATAGGAATCAAAATTGTTTTAATAGAATAAACACATTTGATTCCCAAGAAATTTTGCAGTAATTTATTTAACCTTTGAAATATTTTTTTAATATTGTATAAATTAAATTTTATTTTTGATACTTTACTTGATATATTATATTTTAAGTTAATAATTTGTACCTGTACATTGAGACACATGTCTCCTTTTTTGTCTAAGTTGCCCTTTTTGTAATTCTAAACTTCATTTAACCCCAAATTTCATTACAGTAGAGTCCCGGAAACTCGATTCTCAATAACTCAACATTCTGTAAAACTTGTCATTCAAAAATAAAATAATAATAATTTTTACCTCTAACTTAACACTAGGTCAAATAAGTTATTGTTCTTAACTGGCAACACTTTGACAATACACCAATTCCACATATTAACAAAGAATAGAACCCTTTTTCCAAGATGCCACTGCAAAATAGCACAATCCACAATGCAAATGTCACTAACTTAAAAATATCCACTAAGTAGCCATTATTTTTTAAAATTAAAATTTAACTACAAATAGAATGAGCAATTATTGTGACATCGTCACAATGTAGGCTGTAAATTTTTGGCTCTCAATGTATAATACTCTTGATTTTAGTGATGTCTTGCCCCTGTACATTATATTTTTCCTGTTAACAAGAGAGTCATGTCAATCATCTATTTAACTTTGTTCTGGAGAAAATTTTTGAATTGAAATAACATGACTTCCTGCCCAAACCAGAAGTTTGTATATAGTTAATTGTGCCTCTGGCTTCTAAGCTTGCCATATATTGTCTCAACTTTTATCTATCTAACTCTGTTAGCAAGATTAAGGAAAGACAGACTGTCAAACAGATGGATACCAGTGAGAATTTATAGGTCTGCAATTTTAAAATTGTAGCCCAAATAGTCATTTGGTACATAAAGATATTATATATGCAAATTCATATAAATATTAACTATGGAAGTTCTGCTATTTAGAGTAGCATCATTGCTATGCCACAAAATTCATCATTTTTAGTACTCATCACCTTTTCAGTCCACATTATGTCAGGTTTGTGGGACTCTATTGTATCACGAAACAACTTTGTGACTTTAACTAACCTATAAATATAAAAGAAAGTAATGAATATTTTGTCCATTGTTCCACACAACTATTTTTATGTAGTTATTTGTTACTTGTACATGGACAAAAACCATATTTCTTGTTTTCAAGGCCATGTAAGCCCCAAGTGCAACTAGCATAACCTTGTGAAAGCACTGATCCAATCTTGAATCATAGAGTTTGAAGCTTCTTGGATAATGTACAATGCCCAATTTTCATAACGTGTTCCTCTTTTCTATAGTTTGTGGGTGCTGCTGATTGGATCAATATGGTCTATTGCAGTGTTTTTCAACCTTCTGGCAACCCCTCAAAGCCATATTAAAACTATATCAGTGATTTTAAAAACTATGTATTTAATTTTCTTTCTGTTGAGACCTAAATATCGATCGAAAAACCAATTATACTGTAAAATAAACAGGTATAGCCTTCTCACTAAAATTGTAGTTTTTGTTTTTTATTGTAGTGTAGGACCTACAAACACTTGTCTTTTTCTTTTACCCGCAACCCCCGTGTAAGGCTTTGTGACCCCCCTGGGGGTCGCGACCCACAGGTTGAAAAACACTGGTCTATCAAATCTAAATATCTACATTTGATAAAAATTGCCAGGACAAAATTTTAAGTTTAAAAAAATTTAAGAGAATTCTTAAGTAGACAATACATAGATATTGAAAAGACACATTTGTATCTAAAATATATACCAGTAAATCTATTCATCCAATCTATTTTAAACGAAAATTTAGATCTATTAGAATCCAATATGCCTTTAAAGATCAGTAAAAATTACTATTGATTTTTATTAGTTTCTATTGTTTTCCTAATAGGATAATAAAATATTTTAAAATTAATAGGCTATATTAATTAATTAATATCTTAAATAAATTAGTATTATATAGTAATTTATTTTGTAATTAAAAATTTTATTTTTGTACTAGATTATAGAAAGGCTATAGAATTTGGTAATCAGCTAAATTACACAGCAATAGGTTTATCATTTAAACGGAAACAGCTGAATCATTATCGTAATCATCATATGTATAACAGTAACTCAAGATATAAGCAAACCAATGATGCTAAATATCAGTCATATGAACTTAATCACCATCCTGACTATTATCAACATCGTTTACCAAATGATGAATATTTTAAAGACTCAAGATATCCATTAAATGGTTATGCAGAAGAATCTGTAGATAATGATGATTTAGAAAATATAAACCAAAGAATATTTAGTCCAGAAGATGAACAGATATATAATCAAAACCCAAGTGCATATTATCCAAAAAAGTATAATGATTATGATAAGAATGGACCAATAGATGATTATAGGTATGAAGAAGAAAACAAGGAACCTGATAATGAAAATATGAAAAATTATTATAGCAAAGATGTATCAAGCAAATCTGAAAATAATTGGAAAGGATGGTATAATGAGGAACATCCAAAAATATACCATAGAGGACAAAACAGTAGACACAATTATTGGAAGGGTAGACGACCGTATCGTAAAACAGAGGAAAACATCAAAGAAAATTACAAAAATAATTCACCAGAAACAAAGCAAAGGACCAAAAATGGTTTGTCTATTTCAAATATTTTTTACTTTTTATGGTGAAAGTTGTCTAGTTATTACAGTAATTAAGTACAAATAAAATAAATATTGTATTTAATGGAATTTAAAAGACATAGTCAGTTCAAAATAATTCACTTCATAATAAATAAATAATAATTTTATATGAATGAACATAAGTTAAATAACTTAGGTATTTAATATAAATTATTTTTAATTGCTCTATGTTCAACTTATTATGTGAAATGTTGGTTAATATTTTTCCTTTTTTGTAAATTTTAAACTTACAAAAATAAAAAATAATGTTCTTCATTAATCTTTTATTTTTTATTTCAGTATATATCAGTATGCATTAGTACAGGCAGTAAGACAGTCCTTGACTTTCAGATCTTTTGCTTCTTCATAGCCCCTTTAGCTATTTTTTTTGTTTTTTTTTGAATAATGAAATACATAAACTGTTTCTTTATTAATTAATTAATAAAATGCAGTCTTAAAGATTTTATTTTCAGTCAACTAACTGAACAGTAGTTCCTATCCTACAGGGATAAGAACTAACGTGGGTCCTAAATTTTTCCAGGCTTAGGAAATTCCCAGCTCACCCCTCTTTTCCAGCAATTTTGGCTGAAAGTGCAAAATTTAATGTACAAAAAGTAATTCAGGATATCAAAATGTGATGTATTGTGAAAAGTGCAACTGTGCCCGATCGCCACTAAGGTGATATTACAACAATATTGAGACAGTAAAAAAATGAAATAATAAATTTATTGAGATAACACAAGGCATAATAAAAGGATTCATATACAGTCGACCCCCCTATAATTACGGTCCCTATAGTTACGATTCCTATAAAACTACAAAAAAATTGCTACCGGTATCCGTAAAAAATAGTAAAAGTTCCCTATAAATACCTCAAACGTCATCGGGAAGCCGAACTACTTTCCCGCCGTCCGTAGCGCCACGCTACGGAGAGATTTCTATCGTCTGGACAGTATTATATAAATTATATATAAATTAGGTACTGTACATATAATTATATATTAATTATATATAAATTAGGTACTGTATATATAATTATATATTAACTTATTGTAACTTTGTTATAATTAAATATATAATTTCCGCCGTCTAGCGTGGCGCCACGCTACGGAGATTTTTACGCTAACTATCGTCTGTCAGTATGTAAATTAGGTACCGTAAGTCTAATACAGTACTGTAATTTTATACATTTCTTGTGAAAGAAACATTTCTTATTCAACGGCGATTAAAATTATTTATATTAATGATGTCTCCGAAGTTCTACGAAGTTTTCACAGAAAAATAAGTTGTTAGAAATCGGCCGCTCTTTGCTGAGCTGTTCCGCGACGAAAACAATGTTGAGCAATGGCAATGTCGAATGGTGACACTCGGTAAGTAATCCTACAATTTTTTGTTTATAGCGTAGTTTATACGGATTATTCCCAAAAAATATATACGTATTTTGGAAATGTTGAGTCGGATTAGTCTAGAATTGATTAATTTTATGGAAGAAAATCTTTCAAACAGCTGTAGTCCATAAACTTGATACGTATCGGGTTGTGATTGGAAGGATTCGTAAGAAAGCGGATTCCTAGAGAATGGAACGTATCTCTATCTTATAGGGGGGTCGACTGTAACAACTCTAAGGCATTTGCCCAGCTCTGCCCAAGAACAAAAGTGTCCAGCATGTGGACCTGCATGACAAACAAAGATGTTCTCATGTTTACAATAATAAAAATAGAGCACAATATTTATTATAAAATATACTTTTTTAAAAACTAACCTATGCCTAAAAATGTAGAATGAGAAATTATGATAGAAGAGATTAGGGATACCATACTCGATTGATCCTTTTGTTTCTGAGATGACTATTTTAATTGATTCTTGGTGGGATTTCATCCTTTCTTTTTGGGGAGGGGTTGTCATGTACCAGTACCTTTTTTTCTGGGGATAACAGAGATTGTCTTATGATTGTCTTAAGCCTTAGGACTCTGATGGCACGAAGCCTTCAGAAAACTTCTAGGTTCTTCATTATGGTCTGGATTGACCTCCTCTGTCTCCCTTGTCTCAGCTCTTCTATCCCTTCTCGGAAATACAGAAACACAGTTACTTCCCATTATGGGTCATTAGGCATTTACTCTCCCCATGGGACAGTTCAGAATGTCAATTAACAACCAAGTGAAGTAGAAATAAAGGGCAGGAGAAAGTTCTAGAAACAGGAAATGATAAGAATCAAGGACAGAAACCACAATCCAGAATATTCTATAACAACTTAAAATTATGACTTACAGCCACAGTATGAAAGAGTGAGTTGTCCAAAAGCCAAAGAATGACTGTTTTCAAATATGTTGTATTTGCTGAAGTTTCCTTATTTAAGGATAAAAGTGATTTTTTACAAAATTTATTATTTATACCAGTATATGGTAAGATAATGTTTCTTGTGAATATTTATTATTATTATAATACAACATGTAGGAATTTTCAATCGTTTATTTTATTAAACATATACAACAATTAACTCCCCCATATTAAATTATTCACTCAAAAAACTCATTTATTCTAGTTTGCTTTGGTATAACTATTTGCAGAACAGTTTTTAATTTTGATTTTATTTCATTTTAAATATCTCTCTCTCACTGTTTCTGTGACAGTTTTAAGAAAATTTATTGATACATTTTGTAAACAGTGTTTATTGAATAAAACAATTAGCAGAAATCTTTAATCTTTATATAAAATCATTTATATATGAAGAATGTAGAATAAAGATGAAAAATGCAGTTTCTTCCCTTGTTTTAACATATTTGAAAATGCACTATACATTATAAATTTATATAAAATAATTTTATTTCTTTGTTCTTCTAAAAGAAGACTGGACCAATGCTTAACTTGATGCAGTAACTTTATTTCATTTTTACAATGATATGCAATTTATTACCTTTAAAATACAATTCTAATAATAATGAAAATAACATAAGGTTATTTAATTTTAATGTGACAAATGTGCACGATTTTCTTTGCACAACTTTGTAAAATCTGGTTGCTTTTTGGTCAGCTTCAGTCTCAAGTCATCTTCGAGTTGAAATTGGTGACAATGTTTAGTTTTCATGTTTGTCATGGCTGAAAATCCGCTCTTGCAGTTGTATGTTGTGCAAAATGATAGTAAATATTTTATTGCTGCTTCGCTGACATGATAATAATGTTAATTGTATAACATGAGAGCCTATTAGATGTCTATTAAGAACAATTAAATTTTTAGAATTTAAATTAAAACACTTTGTAAATACGTATAAAATTTTTGGCACGCATGCGCCTTAACATTTACGTATACAAATACGTATTTACAAAGTGTTTTAATGTTAATTGTACAATTTTTGTTTCTTGTGCAAGAATTTCATTTAGGTATTGTCACAAATGCATATTTTGATGAAATTTCGAGAATATATTTAGTTATAAATAAAAAAATTTGTGCATTCAACATCATGTTGTAAATTGCCGAATTTTTGATGGTCCACCAATTTTTTTTTGATTGCTTCATCTCATGCATTTAAATTTTAAATCGACCGATTTTAGATTGCCGCGCGTACCCCTTCATGCAATTTCGCATACCCCCAGGGTACTCATACCACTAATTGGGAACCATTGTTTTAGATGAATAAAGAAAATAAGGATGAAATATTTAAACATAAACAAATAAATTGGCAAAACACACATGTTGGCGCACACACTAAGAGAAGTTCTTTATAATTAATAATAAAATAATTTTTTTTATCCAATAAAATTTATTAAAAATTTGTAATTAAATGATATAATCTTTTTCTAGAAAAAGTATGGAAACGATATAAAAAACATGTGGGCCCTCATGATGCTGGAGGCATTCAGAGAACAATTTCCACAGGTATGTTGATCATTTATAAATATATAATCTTAATAAATGGTTAATTAGTATCATATGTTTAAAAAAAGTAGTTCACTTGTGTGGGTTACCTCTTGGACCAGTGCTTTTAGATCTAACGTCCTCAGCCGGTAATTACTTTGATGCAGACAGATTTGAGTTTGAGATTAACCGTCTGACCGTTGTAACAACGTGATGTTTGTTACGACAGTCAGGAAGAAACACAGTCAGTCACCACCTGAAGCAGGCCTCGTGGAGGTCAAAAGCGTTTGTGGAGTAGTTAAGAACATAACACTTGTACAGAAAGGTTTTCGTGGATTATTATTAAAGAGACATTTATACACAAGATCCAACAACATACAGTAACCGTAAAATAGAAAATTCATGTAGATTCTTGTAGTTAAAAAAAAAAAATGCATATTTACTTTTCAGTTTCTCATCCACAAGCAACAGAATGATGCTACCTTGATTCTGTCAAAAGTTTTGAATTTCTTATGAAATGTCTTCAAAATGATGTATTATTTATTATTTTGGAATTGGCATTACTTTTCAAAACAGATTCAATTACTCAAAAAACATGTTTACATAAGGTGTTGTAGGACTTTCACATCAAATTGTATACATGCAACTGCTTTTATTTATTATATAGATCAATAAAATTAAATTCATAAATAAAATAAAAATTTCATTTATTTTATCTATGGATAGGTGCACTGTTTCCCATAAGAAAAGGAATGCAAAGTGAAAACAGCATTGACATTGTTTTTGCCACTTTCTGGTTTTATCCTGCTCATACACAAGCTCTTCTTCCAGATGATATTGAATGTATTAAAAACCGTTTAGCTCAAGAAAAAGAACGATTTCATCATCAAAGTAAGATTTTAATATATTTAAAATTTTTATAATAATTTTCATATTATAACAATACTGAAATTATTTTTAAAATATTTAAGGTGATTATTATGGGATGGACCATGATGAATATGAAGCTGCAATCAGAACCGAATGTCTTCGAAAAAATAATCACTACGTGGATGCAAATAAATCAGTTTACGATAACTTTGAAGATTACGATCCCTTCGACCGTCGCATGGGTCAAATGACCGTTTACAGACTACGAATCTCTTGCCATTGCCTAAAACAAAATTTAACCTCAGATGCAAAATGTGCAAAAATTCTTCCATATGCACAACAAGGTTGGACAGCTTACATGGGAATGCATGGTAATTGTCTGTTTAACCCACATCAGTTTACATAAAATTTGAAAAAGAATCATATGTATAGAATACCATAAATGTTGCCTTCAAGTACGGATGATGATTTATTTTAAAATAAAAATGATGCAAGAATATTGATTTGTACAAAACAATTAATTTGACTTTTATCTTGGAACAGAAAAATATTTGTAGTAAAATGAAATCATAATTTAATTTTAAAATTCATCATTTTAAAGTGAAATTCAAAGCATAGAATGTCAAAAGGATAATTATGATAAACAAACAGATCTTCCAACAATTTAAGAATTGAAGAATTAGCTAAAAGAAAAATTTGCTAAATATTTTTTGAAAAAATTCATAGACAAATTATATAAATTTTCTAGAATAGTAAATATTCTCGATGAAATTCACTTAGCAGATAAAAAACACGAGTGGCTTATTCTGTAATATACAAAAATTTAATAAGACAACCATTTAAATATTAGCAATTTAATAATTTAAACTTTGGTCAAAAGTAATAAAAATCTGTTAACATATCAAGTGGAAAAAATTAATTAACATTAGAGTTTTTGTATGTTCATTTTTAAAAACAAGCACAAAATTTTGTGACATTTTTTAATTGGAAAATATTTTATTAACCAGTTATATATATGTATGTCAAAAAAATATTTATTTATATTTATTTTTAGCATTTTATTTACATATAGTAATAAATACATACTGTTTATTAATTACTTAAAAGAGACTGTGAAAAAGTGCATTGAAAAGAAAAATGTAATTGCAAAGAATTAAAGATTGCAAAAATAAATTTATTTCAAAAGTACAAAAACTTGCTATTTATCTTTTAACAAAGTTTTTACAAAATATAAAATTTGTAATACAAAAATTGTAAAAAAAGTTGTTCTAATATGTGTGATAAAGTTATTATTTTTAATAATGATTATCTAATAATTAATAAAAATTTGTCCAATTTTATTATGTTTAAACATATTAAAATTCTGGATTTGATTATTTTTTTCTAAATAAAAAATCTTAAGCTACCCAAGATATACAAAGATGTATGTATATTCATGTATTAACTTGATAGATTTGACTTATTATTTCATGTATGGCAAATTTTTGAGGATAATCAAAGTATTTTCTTATATATTTTCATTAATTAAAGAAATACATATTTATTTCATTATTTAAATATGTATTAATATAGATTTGATACACTTTGGGCTATATTTTATTTTCAGATGACATTTTCTAGGTTTTATCTAACAAGTAAGCCAATGATACCCAAACTATGTCCCCCAGACCAAATCCGGCAGTAAACAAATTTGACACATTACTTACAAATTATTGCACCTATTTTTTGTATGTGAAATACATTTGAAATATTTATGGCCTGCCTAATATTTACTTATGACTTAGGTACAATTTGACTCACCAATCAAAGAGTTTGGGCACCATTGATCTAAACCAGTAGTTCTCAACTTTTTTTTATCCATGAATCCCTTTTCCTCTTAATTTTTTTATGGACCCCCATAGACATTGCACAGAAAAAAAACCTTATATTTTTCACTAAGAAAAAAGAAAGGAAAACATTCACAAATGTCACTGTCAAGTGACATGATGCTGATGGTATAAGATTTCCTAACAAACCCCGGCTTTATAATCTCTCTTTGACTTTTGTCAATGAGATATATATGTTGTACACATATTCAATATTTTAAACCTTATGCAAGAAATGAATAATAAAGAAAACAATATATATATACTGTAGAAATTTAATTCTAAATAAAACAATTGTTCTGAAGGAGAATTACCCTATTGATCACTAAAATATCACCGTGAATCCCCAATTTGGTATTTTTTTATGTGGACCCCCAGTAATGTTACATGGACCTCAGATGAGAACCACTGATCTAAACTATTACAAATACAGGTAGGCCCACTTTACAAAAGTAAGGCATTCTTATGAAACCTTTTGTAAGCCAAAATGGCATAAGGTGAAGAAGCAATTATTATTAATTTACATAAAAAATTTTTTTTGAGTGTTCATCATCATCAAATTTATTTAATGTATTAGGCATTCATCTGTTACAGGGGCATGCTATTTTAACATAAATTATAACAACTTTACAATCAATAACTTCTTTACATAAAATTTATATCTGTATCTAACATATATTTCAGTTTAAGTTCTTGAATAACTGTTTATTATTTGAAAAATTTCCTCATATAGTTATAAAGATTAAAGATAGTGTTAACATTTGCTCTGTCCAATATCTTGTACTGTACATATCAATTTCATTCGTACAATTGGCTATTTGCTTAATTTCAGAACTTTTAGCATTATCGTTTTCATTGTCGCATTTACTAAAAATGTGTATTTTTGATAATGGCATACCACAATTTGGGCATTTGGATTGCAAATATTCTATGTATTTGTTTCCCAACATTATTCCATTTTGATTTAATCTTAATTGTATAAAGAATTTTTTAATGTTAAAGGCAAGATTTGTTAGCATATAATCGTTGATTAATGGGTAGTTTAAAATTATTTTATACCAATTTCTATTTGTTCTTTTTTAAATGTCTTCAATATCTTGTACGATGGAATATTCCATTACTCTATGTATTAATAACTTACTTTGTTGTTCAAAACTGTTAGTCTGATCCAAGAATAATTCCATAGAAATATCATATGTATTTAAAATCTTCGATAGTTGTACTATACTATCCAGTTAGTTTTAAGTCCATATCTCTTGATTTATCATATAGTAAATACAGTATTTTTGTTATTAAGTCTCTGGAAGTTATTATTTTTTGTAGCCATTTAATATATCTTTTTATCAATATTGTATTTAGTTTGTATCTATTCAGTTCTAATTGTAGCATGCTGCCTGGGATAAATTTTTTAAGTGTTCTCAGACCCAAAATATAATCTACCAAATAACACAAAACCTAAACTAACACTAAAATATAGTAAAAACACAAATGATATGATAAATAACAGTTTGTACAAAATAGAAATAATGTACAGTACACCTACATACAGTATAGTTTCACTTACTATCAGAATAAGGATGTCAGTGAGTGCATTATAAGATGCTGAGTTAATGGTGGCTATGTACTGTACCTTGTATGTTAGACTGTCATTAAAGGTTGGTGTAATGGAAGGTACTGTACAGGACACTGATGTAAGGAACAGGCTCATCTATAAACATCTCATCGTTGCCTGATTCCATCAGAACAGGCAGGTCACTAATGTCTACTACACCTATGTTTGCCTGCTTCAATGCTGAAGGTCAAGGATTGTCTGCTTTGGCTGATATGTGTACTTGAAATACCACAGTATGTTTGACTGCTTAGCCTCATGCATTTTTCTATCATTCAGTTCTTCATAGGCACTCAAAACATCCTGTAAACCTACCCTAAACCTACTCCTACATACCCTTTCAAAATTAATACTTTTCGGTAATCATTGCAAATGCTAATCTTACCTGTTAGCAAAAATCTCACATAAGTGGATCATGTTCAGTTGCATCATGATCATGATCAGATGCAGAGCTACAATTGTAAGACACTTATTGTCAAGATTATTTTCTCTATAGTATATAGCAAAGCATTGGCAACAGGGTTACAGCAATGACATCATAGTAGATGCTAAAACAAAATAAATAAATAAAATGGATGTTACCGTCGTACCTGGTAATGCCAGGTGGATGCGCATCCAATTAGGAGCTGTCCACATATGGACATAAATGACAAACATTGGAAGGGAAGGAAGGGTTATGACAAGAGGATGGAATTGAACTTCAATAAACATCAATTTTATTTCATTGAATTTTATACAGTACTAGCTGCAAGATCTCGCTTCGCTGGGTTTTTATTTGTATGTAATAGTATAGTTTTATATATATATATAAAAGACTGTTTTTCTAAGTAATCTAGAATCTAGCTGCAAGGACCCGCTTCGCTGGGCAAAAAGTAACGATAGTGAAGATTAAGATAATTACATTATAGCTAATCTTACCTGTTTTCACAAAATGCAAGAATTAAGTCCCCCATTTCCAGACTAATTAGAGAATTTTTACGTTTAGTCAAATGAACAAATTTCAACGTTTCTGGAACGTTTTCAATCGTTCTATAATCGAACCAATTCGAATTTTATGTTCGAATTTAATTCGAACAAATTCGAAAAAATCGAACAAAACATTCGAAATAGAAAGCCACTTTCAACCACTTTGCCTCATATCTCCTGCACCCTTATAGCTATCGAGACGCAACCACCCCTATGCACGAATGGAGACTTGGGGCTACCACCACATACAAACACCATTCACGTGCGATATGTAGTTTTGGCAAAAAAGTGAGATATAGGGACATACATGTCCATTTATACATATATATAGATATACATTTTATTCATAAAGTGGTAAAGATTTTGAAGGGAATTGAGTTTCACTGAACATCCGAAGAGGAGAGGGAGAGTAAAAATTTCGAGAAAAATGTGAACCTAATTTATGGACAGTCTCTTATCTACAGTCACAAGACATTTATTGTCAAGGTTATTTTCTCTATAGTATTTTTCACCAAAGAACTAACATAATCTACTCATGTACTCAGAAAGTTAAGCAACTCATTGCTGCTTTCCCAGCAAAATTTAAAACTGCATGTAACATATCTGTTCTGATATTTTATTTTCTAAAATTTTTATATTTTTAAAAATTCCTGGTTGTTATCATGTATGCTGTTATTTTATATTTTTAATTATTATAAAATGGCAAAAAGCTTAATTTTGAGAGTTGGGATAAGAGTTTTATTTGTATATATATATACACATAAAACTCTAAACATAATATATATATATATATGTGTGTGTGTGTGTGTGTGTGTATATATATATACACATTTTTTTGGTATATGTGGGAGCATGATTTTGATATTTTGATCACTCTCTTTGAAGCTTGATAACTTTTGTGTGTGTGTGTGTGTGTACCAAATATACCAGAAAAAACCCCAAATTGTTTTGCATTTTTTGATGTTTCAAGGTCACAGAGTCCAAAAATGGAGGGGGTCGTTTTTTTCACCAATCACCATACTTTCCCTCTGTTATATAGAAGAATGTTGGGCTCTGACATCCACAAGGAGACAGAGAGACGTTTGAAGTCTCCAATTCGAACAAAAGTTGGTGAGCATATAGCCCTAAACACGAACAGCTCCATGTCTAAAATATAGGACCCACTTCTCAAGCATTTCCGAAAGATGAGTCTCTGAAAATTGAGTGTTTACTTTTCAAGTCTTTGGAAGCTTCATTTCACCCTACATAGCATTACCAGGATGAATGGTACACTAGTAGAAGCCTAAGAACAGCATCATTAATTGCATTAATAGTAGGCATTAGCATAAATTTGTCTTTCAATGTCTTGTGTCTCATAGCGTGCTTTTCTTCTATCAAAATAAATGTTTTTCTCGGAAATTTCTTAATAAAATGAAGTTTCATCACAGTTAAGTACTTGCGTATACAAATAACCATCTTCTGTTATTATTTTTTTGTTTTTTAACTATTTCCACCCTGTGGACACTAAGAGAGCCTCTTTTAGCAAACCCATTATGAATTCGGCCAGGCACACAATGGGGCCCGAGTGATGAGAGATGGATTCAACATATCCAGACGGACTATCCCAAAAAATTCCTGGGAATTTATCGACCTGTCCGGATTCAAAACAAAATCCCCCAGAGCAGTAGGTTGCCACCTTGACCACTCGTCCATGAGGGATGGGGTGATAAAGGAGTAGGGTTAGACTTAATGGCAATTTTAATCGTTATTAGCATTTACAATTTTTTTCTAAAACCCATGTCTACCTTCAAAATTAAGCTTTTTGCCATTTTATAATAGTTAAAAATATAAAAAGATTTTAAACAAAATATCGTAACAGATGGCGCCACCAAATGTTGCAGGGAAAGTTAAGCAACTCGTTGCTTGTTTTTTTTGCTTTCAAACCAAATAATGTATGTATGTGTGTTTAAAGGGAGCATGGACTGTAGATGATAACAAAATAAATTTTATTAATATATCCTTAATAACGTACAAATATTTTATGTGTATCACTTGTTAAATATGATACACACAAACCGAAGTATTACGTCATTCGTTTATGGGGAAGTGGCATTCATTTGTAATTGCCCGGATTTTGAGATCTTTCTTACTTTCTAAAGAAATCAGACACGAACTTACCCTGTCGCTTCAGTTTACTTTTCCGGCTGTACATAAGAATACAAAGTATAATCGTGGAAATTTGAATTCTACCGCCACCCTACTAACAGACGACATTTCTTCTTTTCTCTTCTACGCATGTCTAATTTCCCGAGATTCCACGGGCGAATTAACATCGTCTGTTCGGTTGTCTTGACAACAGAAAAAGCAAACAAAAATGCATTCAGAATTGTAAACGTTGGCGAATTTATTGTATCCCAATATATTTATTGCTTTAAGATAAATTAATTTAAGAAATTTATTAAAATTTGAAACGAATAAATCTAAAAAAAATTTTATAATTAGAAACATCACGTTCTTGATCCAATGAACAATTTGGCAGCCTCCCGTTCTGGGGGACCCGAAAACAAATCCGGACGGGTAGAAAAATCCCCAGGAATTTTTTGGGAGTGGTCCGTCCAGATATGTCGGGCCCCTTCACTACCCGGCCGCTCCATTGTGGGCCTGGCCGAATCCATAATGGGCTTGCTAAAAGAGATCCTCTTAGTGCTCACAGGGCGGAAAGAATTAAAAAAAAATGTCTTCACCTTGGAATTCGATTACAATATTGTTATCAATATAACCACAGTTTTTTCAAGGTGCTCTTTTCAATGGCTTATATTTTGGCGAGCATAATTGATTATAAATTAATGAGAACACCACAAAATTTTACACCACAAAAGTTTACACCACAAAATTTTCGGTTAGAATAACCGAAAATTTTGTGGTGTAAACTTTTATGTCTCCGAAAAAAGCTCCATAATTAGAAGGCAAAGACAAATTTTAGAGTACAGTATAGAAGTATATCTATAAAGTATATCTAATTACAAAGATTTTTTTAGCAAATTGTCCAGGTTATACAATTAGGCCTATCATTAAAAACTGATATATTCAAAATATTTAATATTGTTACAATTAAACCGAATATTTTAGTGTAATGAAAAGTATAATAAGTTTTTATTAAAGATTGGTTCGTAATGTTGAAATTATTTAATAATGTGTACTTTTAGAAGAACAGTTAAACAGAAGTCATACATAAATAAATAGTAGAAAAAGGTTTTATTGCGTCGACACAAATTTAGTGATGTACTCTGAAACTGCATGGGAGAAATTCAATGCCAAAAAGTGTAGCATCCGGCATTGTAATGCCTTTATTTATCCCTATTTATAAAACAATGTAACCTTTTTACCTTTGGTTTACTATGAATGATTTACATTATCATTTTCATATATTAAAAATAGGTCATATTTATGTAGAAATCGTCTTTTACAATAGAATAACCCACTTTTAATGTTAATTTATTGTTGTATATCTCCGGTTTTTAATTAAATAAATTCATATTTTCTTTATATCTCCACGTACTTTTATGCAAAATTTTATAAAGAATAGCCGCGAAAGTATCGTTTGCTAAATCTAAAATGGTCGAATTGCTTCAAATTATTATTATTATTGCCGAATTTTTTCTGTTGGGTTTTAGTAGAAAACATCTTGATTTCGGTAAGTAAAATTCTACTTTATGAAATAATTTAAATTGTAATTCTAATAGATTATATTACAGGGAATGCGAATTACAGTGAAGAATTTGTAGTAAAAGAGAGAATAGTTGGAGGCCATAATGCGGATGAAGGGGAGGTGCCTTGGATGGTAATAAACTAAAATTTTCATCTAGTGAATAATTTCTCATACCTCTTAAAGTTGTAGGCTTACTTGTTTCAGGCAAAGATTTTTATATACGACAGATTTATCTGTGGAGGATCCATTATTGCTGAGAAGTGGATTATCAGTGCGGCTCATTGTTTTTTAATGTATGTTCAACACACCAGAATAATAAATCTAAGTGAATAATAATTCTGGTTATAAAATAATTATTTTCTTATAGTTCGTCTGTACCTTATATTTACTTTGTACGAATTGGAAGCCGCTATATTGACAGTGGAAACTTGGTTCATATGAACTTAAAGAAAATATGCATCCATCCAAACTTTGGCGATCCTTACATTTTTAGCAATGACATCGCTTTGCTGAAAGTTAATAACAGCATTTATTACAATGACTTTATCCGATTTATCTACTTGAATAAACAACTTATCGAACTGAACGATGAAATGGCTACTGTTGCTGGATGGGGTACAGTGAATGAAAGTAATTATATAAAAAAAATTCCATATTTTTATATTATGAAAGTATCTACTGTAGTTAATATTGATGAATAAATCATACACAATTTTACTTTTTATATTTTAGGGTATAGTATTTATCCGCGAGTATTACAGGTTGTAGATCTACCCATCATCGACAATAGAATGTGTGAAGATTGGTTTAATTATAGAGGAATGGATTTGAAAATCGAAGATAGTCAACTCTGTGCCGGTTTTAAAGATGGAGGAAAAGATTCTTGTCAGGTAAAGTGGATGAAGTTTATTGTTAAAAATTTTTTTACTTCTTTTCCAATGGTTTGTTATTATTTAAAGGGTGATTCTGGAGGACCTTTGTATCTTAAAGAGAATAATAATAGTGGTATACTTATCGGAATCGTATCTAATGGTCTCGGATGTGCTCGACCTTATGCACCAGGCATATATACTCGAATTAGTTCTTACATACTCTGGATTGAAAGAATTATAAAATAGAATGTTTAAACTTTATTAGCAAGGAGTTTAGACTTAGAGGACATATTTTATTTCTGTTGGCGGAAGGATGTCAAATGGCTTAATTCTCGATTGCTTGTTAATCGGCAACACAAGTTTATTAAATCTCTATTTATTTAACAGAAGTAATTGATAAGATTGATAACACCGTTACATTTAATTATAAAAATCTACACATTTACTAAATAAAACTAGGAAAATTACAACTTCTTGGAAAAATATAGGCCTAATGGCGAAGAATACAAGATTGACGAAGAATACAGATTAAGAATTATTCTTTTATTTCCGTCTTTATTAATGATTCTAATAAAAATAAAATATTAAAATAAATTTTAAATAAAATAAATAATATAAAATATGCAAAGTTTACTTATTTATTTGTTTATTTTAATTTAGATTTTATTTATTTAATTTAATTAATCTAAATTATTTAATAAGAATTTTGGGAAAAACTAAATAAACAATTTATTAATTAATATAATAAAATTTAATCTTAAATTAGTTAGTTCATTTACAATTTTATCGAGTTATAATTTTGTTTTACGATAAATCATATTTAACAAACAATTTTTGATGACTAGATAGGAGTTTTGTAGATACTGGTGAATTTAACTGAACTAAACTTAATACTTTAATAACCGTCAATTTAATTTAAATGAATTGGGATATTCCTGAAAATTGTGAAAAAATGGCCTCATAAAATCATTTAGGAAAAGCATAGAAAACAAAATGTTCGGCCGAAATCAAATCCGAATCTTACACTATTTCTTTTCCAGCTCTGTTATATATAACTGTTATAACAAGGAAAGTATGGCGATCGACCGAACGACCCCCAAGATTTTTACATTATTGGACTCAGGAAACCTTGAAACCTCGCGAAATCTAAAACAAAAAAAAAAAAAAAAATTTCGGGTTTTTTCTGTATGTATGATGTTAGTGTGTTGGGGGAACGATTATGTTCCTCCTCTTCTTCTTCTTCAGTGTTAATATGGAGAATTTAGCTCTTTCTAGCTCTTTCTCCGATTTTCCCACTCTCAGGTTCCCCTACTTAAATCGTCTGGTTCATGCGATGTATGCTTCTAACGCCACCACTAGATGGCGGGGTGTGATCTTTGTCGTCGGCGCATAGATTTCCCACATTGTGCTCTTATCAGTTAGTCTTACTCCTAGGGCGGTGCCCAGGTCTCTGCGAGCGTTGGCGTATTCCGGACATTCTAGCCAGAAGTGCGCTGCCGTTTCCCTCTCCTTACAGTGAGGGCATTGAGGCGTGTCGTGTAGCCGTCTGGAGTGCAAAAAATCATTCAAAGGGGCCGTCTCCGTATGCAAGCGCGCGAGTACAGTCTCCATATACCTGTTCGACGCGAATTTATAGTGCCAGTTGGCAAACGGACAAAGATATTCCCTGCCCTTTCTCCTCAAGTCGGATGTCCAACACTCCGTTAGCCGGTGAATTACCCTCACCCTGTCCGCCCTTGCCACGTCCCGTGGCATTAACGCCCGCCAGATCGATCCGTCAGGTTCCCCGACCCTTGCCAACCTATCTGCGCCTTCGTTAATAAGAACCCCTGTATGCCCTGGGGTCCACCCGGCCACGCAGGCTTCCTGCCTTAAACCCAGGCCCGCTGCGAAATCAATAATTACGCCCGGGGATGAAAATCCCACGTTCGCCACAGCAGTAAGTACCGACAAACTATCCGAAAAAACCGCGCACGGCTCTTTAACCTTCCCCATCACCCTTAGAGACCACAGGAGCCCCTGTGCCTCCGCCCCAAACACACTGCAGGCCTCATTTAGTAACCAGGCCCCTGACCTCCCCTGCGACGGGATCACTATCCCTAAAAACGTATGGCCCTCCGACTTCGAGGCATCCACCCCCATAAGTATCCACTTTGGCCACTTATTATCCGTTATCCAGCAAAAATGCGCCCGATACGCTTCCGGTAATAACCCTTCCACCTCCCTATAATCTGTCAAACTCAGCCTCCTCCTTACTGCCTCCGCCTCCGGCGGCACCGACTGTTGTCTGTAAATCCGGTTGATTGGAATTTTTGAACGGCTAGCCTCCTCATACAGCCACGCTACATATGGCTGTTGGTTCTTCCTCCATTTGTAGTATAGAATACCTTCCTTCGTTGCCAAGATCCGATGTAACGGACTATATTTCCCTCTGGAGAAGTTAACTATCCCGATCTTTAACGCCTTCATCCGGATCCGCTCCTTCAGTGGGATATAGCTTGTTTCAGCATATAATGACCTCAGAGGGGTCGTACGTGGGACGCCCAAGGCTGTCCGTAACGCCTCCCGGATCGGCCCCTCGATCCAAGCTAATGTCGTCTTCGGCGCTCCCACCAGCACCGGTGCCCCGAACACCGCCATTGGGCCCAATACCGCCTTTATGATCCTCAGTAGACACTCTCGTCTGGCCCCGTTACGCCTTGATGTAAAGTACTTTAATATTGCCCCTGCTTTCGTTAGTTTAGAACGCAAAAAAATCCGCATGCACCCTCCAGGTAAAAGTTTTATGAAACATGATCCCCAAAATCCTCAACACTGCCCTTTGGGGAAAACGATTATGTTCTCCCTCTTTAAAGCTTAATAACTTCTGTGCTTTCTGTCGAAAATTTCTGAAATTTTGCATGGAGATTTGTATATTAGTAAAATTGATGCTATTAAATCTTGATGCTTAAAGGCTAGGGGTGGGCAGATAAAGAGAGATCGTGTATCATATCTCAAGTAGGATCGGATTTAATGACTATTTTACTCGTTATTAGCATTTACAATTTTTTTATAAAATATGTCCCTACCCTCAAAATTAAGCTTTTTGTCATTTTATAATAATTCAAAATATAAAAAGTTTTAAAATAAAATATAACAGATAGCGTCACACGCAATTTTAAATGTTGCCGGAAAAGTTAAGCAACTTTAAACTCTTTTCCACCCACAGGGCGGAAAAGAGTTTAAAGAAAAAAACCTAGCCGATTATTTGAAAAATTTGCAAATATATTAAAATTTCAAATTAATTGATACAGATTTAATTTATATTAGATATTAGTTTTAATAATTTGTTAATAATAACGAGAAAATATTTATTGTGACATTGTCACAATGCCGAGCTGCAATTTTTAATCATATTTTTAATTTGTTTTATTTAAAATACAGTAGAGCATCGATTATCCGACTCAATTGGGGACTCGGGTTGGTCGGATAACTGAAAAAATCGGATAACCGAAAATAATGAAAAAATAATTATTAGTATAGTACTATAGTATATTAGTATATCCCATGTAATTAGTGTATTAGTATATCGCTATTAACCTACTTCGCGTTGAATTTTCATCGATGTTAAGTATAACAAAATTTTTTAAAAATAATAATCGTCGCTATTGTATCGTTAAAAATTATTTTTAAATTATTTTATTGCTCACAAAACAAACAACCACTCACAATTAGAAAATTAAGTCTCGTTTAAATACTGGCCTCCCTTTCATGGTCAAGCCATGTTGACAGCTAAATCACGCAAAAATTTAACAAAAATAATATTAAAGTAGCCAAGACATAGCCAAATATTGTAGCGCCACATCACTAGCGGACATTTGAAATTTGCTGACTAAAACGGTCGGTTAACCGATGTGACGGTTAATCGGGGGTCGGATAATCGATGCTCTACTGCAGTGTTTTTCAACCTTTTTGAATACGCGACCCCTTTACAAGTTAAAAAGTTCTGGCGACCCCCTAGGGCGATATTAAAACTATATCAGTGATTTTAAAAATTATGTATTTAAGTTTCTTTCTGTTGAGAGAAATTATTGTTGACTAAAATGAGAATTTAAGAAGGATCGACATTAACTTATGACACGTATGGTATGATACTTCCCTCTCATAGGAACATTGAGTTCGGAGTGCTGTTGACTTTCTTTTACCCGCGACCCCTCGTGTAAGGCTTTCGCGACCCCCAGGGGGGTCGCGACCCACAGGTTGAAAAACACTGCTCTACTGTATATGCTCTCCACCTCAAATTAGTAGTGGCTTGCCCCTGTACATCATACTTTACGTTTAACAATAGACTCGTGCCGGTTAGCTATTTAACACCTTTCAGAAAAAAATTTTAAATTGAATCAACGAGACTTCTGGCTTACATCAAAATTCGTATATAGGCCTGCTGCCCCTATGGTTTCCGTATCCAGTCTTGTCTCTCATCTTTCTAACTTCATTCTCGAGATTAAGGAAAGACAGACGGACGGGTAGACGACAGTAGAAATTTATAGATCTACAATTGTTTAAATTGCAGCCCGATAACTAGAATAAAACACGTTATTTATGTTAAAATGAAAAGTTTCAATTAAATAAAACGTTTCTAAATCAAGTCACAGCGATGGACAGCAAGATTACCAGTTTCGATACCCTATGCCGATACTGGCTGATATTTTTATTTTTATTTTTTACTCTTTCCGCCCTGTGGGTACTAAGAGGGCCACTTAAAGCTGGCCCATTCGACCAGGACCACAATGGGGCGACCGGGTGGTGAGGGACGGGGCCCGACATATCCGAACGGACAACCCCCGAAAAATTCCTGGGGATGCTTTGACCGGCTGATATCAATACTTTAAGTTCGATACAAATACCGATACCGGTATTGACACTTTAAACTACTCGTGATACTGGTGTGGATACTTCTGTGGTATCCGGACGTCCCTACTTGTTACACTCGTTATATCTATCCTTATCAGTTTGAATCTCACTTCTCTTTCAAAATTTAAAACCTTCTTTCTTCTGCCTTACCGCATCCTGTGTTTCTCTATTCTACAACAGCTTTCTCCCTTTCCTTGTCTTGCCACATAACTCCTCCGCAGTTTCTTTCATAATATTTGCCATCTTATTTCACTCTTCACTAATCTCACTTTGCTCTTGTCTCAAGACTTCCTCACTCTTTCCATTCAAGATCTACTAGAACTTTTGTCAACATTTTCCCCTTTCAGTTTCCAGACCTTGAGCCTTGAATAGTATTTTATGATATATTTTCTTTTTTTATCTTACTGTCTCCATGTAATGTCCATAACCAGAAGCGTGTGTTATTTAACTACGCCCTCTCCTATAATCATCTTACATTTTTTTTTTCAAGGATGTTATTCAATCTAATAAAAGACAAACTAAACCTAAGACTGTAATTTTACTTTTTTTATTATTATTTCTTTTGAAATTTCACAAGCTGTTTCTAAATTGTTTCCAGAGAAATATATTAGATGGAATGCTATTTTTGAAAGTTCTTCAAACTAGAGTTGAAATCCTAATTGCTTTTTTTTAATGTTATGTCTAATAGTAATAAATAATACAATGAAAAAATTGCCCAAAGAGCAGATAAAGCAAAAAATAAAAACAATAAATATTGTTCATCATATATAACATCTACAATAATTCTAGGTAACCATTAAATAATCTTTAGAATACGCAAATTCTTTAACAGAAACAGCATTAACAAATACAGTAGTTGTGTTTAGACTGGAGCACTGGTGCATCCTAGTGTGCACTAAGCCGTTCATGTTTGCATGCATTAAGCTGATGCGCATTCAGGTGGACGCCATTTTGAGAGAACCAAGATTCATTTCAGGTATTTTAAGACTATTAGAGCACTGTAGGGCGCACTAGTGCTCTAACCTGAACGCTACCTTTGGAGTTTCGACGCGATTGCAGATGTGTCCTTTTCTGGATATTATAATATACAGTACAGTAGAACCTCGAAAACTCGGCCTAATGTGGACCGAAGGGTGGCCGAGTTTGTGAAAATGCCGGGTTATCGGGAATGGGGTTAAAAAAATAAGTACGAGTGTTTCCTCAGAAAATACTGTACTGTACTTGTATGTATTGTTTACTTGAGAATATAACAGAGAATAAACTGCCCAAATACCCTTAAACAAAGGAAAAGTACGTCCTTTATGAAGGCATAGAGCCTTTACTACATGAAAATGAAAATTAATGAATACACTGTGTACAGTAATTTACCTGATAAGACAGACCTCAGAAAAATACTTTATGAGAGCTTTTATACTTTTATAAAGCTGTCTATAATGAAAATTAATTAACTAAGGATTTTTTTGCCCTGCCAGGGTGTGGCCGAGTTATCCGGAGTGCCGGGTTATCGAGAGCCGAGTTTTCGAGGTTCTACTGTATTTGTATTATAAACGATTTATTTAATACTTTAAGGTATAATACTACAAGTTTTAATATTTGTTGCATGTTACTCAGTTTCTGAATAGGGAAAAAAAATTTAATAACGAATTTTATAACTTTCCCGGTTTTATCACGGAAGTTTGCAACTTGCTTTTTTATCGGACTTCTTTCACCAAAAGCTATGTTGTTCCAAACTTCGATCCTTTGTAGAAAAATTTTCTAACACAAAATCTAAATCTACTAGATGCATAGTTTTATTTAGTTTTTTTTTGTTATTTTATTTCAGTTAGTAATTATTTAAAGTAAAATTGTGTGTGGTGCCATGTGACCATATATCTCCCTGTAAAGTATGCATTCGACAACGCACTCGACGGCGGATTGTAATTGACGGGTGCAGTTTTCCGACATGCAGAGAAATTTTGTCTTTTAATACGGCTAAGTTGAAAACACCGCCTTCATAAACAAATCTCTTCAAGTTTCTCCAGTGGCGTAGCGTGGGTGTCAGCCGCCCGGGGCGGAGGAAAATTTCGCCCCCCCTTATTTAGGTATCTCGATTTAAAAGACTAAAATTCAGTTTCGTCACAGAATAAGTAATGAAAAATTCCGTGCTAGTGTTGCTACCTTTTTAAAATCGCTAACCCGGACAGTAGGTGAGGTTTGTTCGAACAGCATGCGTATGTCATTTTGCAATGCGAAGAATAATGTGCAGTGCATGCTGGTTCTAAATCAGTTACAGTTAGGGACTAGGGAGACTTGCATAGGAGTAACGTAAGTAACCTAGATGACTTAGCTCTATTGGATATTAGAGGTGTATATGAGTATGAATGAATCATACAAGCAAAAAAATAAAAAAAAGGTCGACAGGTTTCGCACGTTATCGCCGGGTAAAATTAATAGTTCACCCGGACGATGAGTCGATTCCCGGACTGTCCGGATGGTAACACTATTGCCCGTGCTCATTTCAATTGGTCCGAATCGTATGTACGGCTAAAATATGGAATGAAATGGTTCAAATTTTTACAACATATTATTATTATTTACTGATATTATTATTATTTTGCCGCCCCCTAAAAAGTGCCGCCCGGGGCGGGCCGCCCCTGCCGCCCCCACTACGCGAAGCCACTGAGTTTCCCCATAACCAAAAATCACACGAAGTCAAGCCTGATGATCGTGGTGGCCATGAGTGACGCGTTAGAGCTTGATGGGACCCGAACGAATTTGAATTAGGCAGCCCATGTGCAGTGTTGACTTCAGACATTTTTCTTCTAGGAAATTTTTAGCGCAAAATATTTTCTTATAAAGGTTTGGTTTGATCCCAATAATAGGGAGCCCCAGGCAATTGTTTTTTTTTTTTGGCCATAGGATAATATGCCACTAGTGGCTATGCGATTGCAAATGATCGGCTAATCACTTTCATTTGTGAAATGCTGACGCAATAATTTTCATACATTGACACAAATATGAGACGGTGCTCGATCTTGAATAAAGATTGGGTATCCAAACAATTTCTTTGCTAAAGCGCAGGATGACAGAGTTTTGAAAATGTCTCCATACCTAATGGCATTATCACAGAAGACGTCACTGGTTCAGATGCAGTTTTCTTCAAATATATACAGTCCAATAGTAACGGATGCTGTGAATCCGCACACATTGTGATTTTTGGTTGATGCTACAGAATTTATTGACAAACATGCGGGTTTTCTCCAGGAGAAAAACAAAACGGAAGTTGCAAATATTCACCAAATCATTCAAATAAAAATAGGTTTCATCTGTTCATAGAATTTGGCAGGGCCAGAAATCGTCGATCATTATCCGAGCTATGAATTGCTTGGCAAATGATTTCCGCCTAGCACAATCATCAGAAAGCAATTCGTAACTATGAGACATCCCCGCAAAATTTTTCGCACTTTATGATATCCTACGCGCACTGGATCTGTCCTGAGGATTCTCCATTTGCCGTTTCACTAAGACGGTTGCAACAATTTGTTTTCACCGGTTTCACCGGTTTGAGACCCCTTTGTGAGAATCGGAATTAATTAGGTTAATTAGTATAAGAAAAGATATTATTTCTTACATATTATTCACAAAAAGGGTAGTTACATTCGTCGTGTTTTTCGAAAAAAGGGAAATCAACTTCCTTTCCCACAGAACTTTATCGGTAATTCTGACCACCATCTGTATTTTTATCACCTCTACACGTCATCGCGCATCCCGTTGTAACCGCGAATCATTTTATGCTATTAGAGAGCCCGATAAAAGGATAGTATTCCCATCTTTCAGGGCAGTTCATGAGAAGTCGAACGTGCCATAGAAGACGGTAGTTGGCCGAAGAATCCCTGGTCCGTATAATTAACTAGTGCGCATATAGGTTTCCTCCAAGATTCTCATTCTCCTCCCGAACTTCCATCGCCGTCGTCCCGCGTATCAAAGTCTAGCAGCCGACCAGAAGAAGTCTACTAATTGATTAACATTGTAAGGCAGTACAATTTATATCATACTTGTAAACTCTCTCTCTCTCGCGAGGATAGGATAGAAATTATTACTTTCTCATTTAAGATCAGCTGTATATGCTCGGCATAATAATATATCCAAGAATAGAGGCGTATTTAGAGTTAAGTTCGATTATGTTAACTTGTATTCGATTTGGAGCAATGTATATAGTATATTTCTTTTATCTATTAAACGTTAATTGTTATGTTTACTTATTGATCCCATTTATTTGCTAAGTTTGGACCATTCACCCGCTACGAGTCGCATACTCTCCTCACTCATCAACGTAACAGCCTTCCTAATTAAACGATAACTTCAACGCGTGATAGGGCGCGAATCTCATCCCTATCTGGTGTCGGAAATCCTGACAGGAGACGATGGTTATACGATCGCCTTGTCTCCGCACCTTCTTTAACTTTCAATTTAAAGCCATCCTACGACCCTGTGGGCATGTCTTACAGACTTGATTGCCGATTAAGTGATAAAGAGTAAAAAACTAAACTCTTTACTCCTGGTCATCCTCACACCTTCCTGGTTTCTCAGTGAATGATCCATTTTCCTCAAAACACAAAATTATTTTCCCCAGATTAATAATAGTCTGAGAACTTTTCGCAAATACTTTAAATCTCTCGAAATTTCTTTTGTGCAGCACTAGCATTGCTGCTCTTTGATAGTAAAATTTAACGAGTATGAAATCTAAGAACGATGTCTTGTCGTTAACCCACATTGGAGATATTTTGCAACCAGGGCTCTCGAGAAGAGAGAGCTGGAAATTTTTACTCGGGCATAGTAATTCCTACTCCTATAAAATTAATGTTATTTTTTATTAACAAAAAAATAAAATGTCTCATATTGCTTTTTATTAATAAACATTCTACGCATTTAAATTGTTCATAAAAAAATGATAATGTTGCTCTCAAAAAAAAACTAGCTCTTCCCGAGTTCCATAGAAATTCTTGACGGCCCTGCTTGCAACCCTTTATAAACCCTTAAGTTGTTCTGCATCTTACGTAATATGCAAATTACAGAGACATTAGCGCCAAATTTCCCATCGAGAAATTTTGGAACTAAACTTTTTATTTGAGAATAGAAAGTATGGTCAAGGACAATATCCCATGGTAAAAGAAGTGTGCACACCAAAATTGGTTGAATTTGGTCTATTAGTTCTTTCTGTATAGAGCTCTAAACTTCTATTTAATTATACAAAGTGTCTATAATTACCATTTTGTATAATTATATTTTATAAAATTATTTACTGTATAATAACATTTTATTTTAATTTCATTGAATTTTTATTGTTTCATGCTAGAATAAAGTAATTCAAAATATTTAAATGATACAAATTAATATTTATTTCTATTCATTAATTTGAGAGAAATTTACAAAAAATGCTATCATTATTTCAAATGTGTAGATCAGTGAGAAAATAATAATAGTAACACCAAAAAATAGCGATAAGAAGTTTAATTGAAAGTACATTTCTCTGAAATCTATTATTGCTTAAATTTTAAATTAGACAATTAGACACAGGAAAAATCAGCGAATGTTTTAACAGAAAGTGAAATTTATCTACGAATTTTCCTGAATATTTTCGTCAATCCAGTCTCTGAAGTATCCGATGCTAGCGTACACTCCAGGACGATTCTGTAGGGCGCATCCGATACCAAAAGATACAACTCCGCATTGATAACTTTCATCTCCATTTCGGATATATAAGGGTCCACCTGAATCACCCTTTGTGTACAAATGATTCAAAATTAAAAATATAAAACATATAAATCATGAGAATTGTTACATTAATACTTACCTGGCAGGAATCTTTGCCTCCTTCTTTATATCCGGCACATAAGTGATTATCGTTGATAACAACATTATCAGTCTTGGGGGTATTGTACCATTCTTGACATTCTATATTATTGATTATTGGAATTTCAACAGTTTGTAATTTGTCTTTAGGTTTTCCTGTAATAAAATAATAAAATGAATAATTGCCGTACACGGTTTAATCACGATAAGAAATTATATAATGAGCATGTTTAAAGTGCTAACCTTCTTCTGTTGTTCCGAATCCGGCAACAATTCCCATTAAGCCAGGTTTTCTACACATTTCTTCAGTGCCCAAAGAAATGGGTCCTATAGATTTCTTGAATAAAAAATTGCTTTTGCTTTTCAGCAAAGCAATGTCATTATCATGGTTGTCAGGACTATAACCTTCGTGATTTTTTATCGATTGCACTTCATAACTGTCCCCTCCTTCTCCATCTATATTGATTGTACCAACTACCAATAAGTAATCCTGGGGTCTGTTTGGACTGGAAAAAATTAATTAATATTTTAATGAGCATTGTATTTAATTCATGCTTCTTTAAATATTGTTTAATGAAATTTATAATTGTCTTACTCAGAAAAACAATGCGCAGCACTAACAACCCATTGTGCATTAATNGCAGGAATTTTTGCCTCCTTCTTTATATCCGGCACATAATTTATCATTTTTGATAACAACATTCAAATTCGTGCTTTTGAACCATTTTTCACATTCGTCATTGCTGATTATTGGAATTTCAATAGTTTGTAAATTCTCTTTAAAAATACATTCTCCTGTAATAAAATAATAAAACGAATAATCGCGGTACACGGTTTAATCATGATAAGAAATTATATAATGAGCATGTTTAAAATGCTAACCTTCTACTATTCTTCCGAATCCGGCAACGATCCCCATTAAGCCAGGTTTTCTACACATTTCTTCAGTGCCCAAAAAAATGGATCTTACAGGTTTCTTGAATAAAAAATTGTTTTTGATTTTCAGCAAAGCAATGTCGTTATCAAAGTTTTCAGGATTAAAATCTTCGTGATTTTTTATCGATTGCACTTCATAATTGTCTCCTCCTTCTCCGTCTCTCTTGATAGTACCAACAACCAATAACAAATCCTGGGGCCTGCTTGGACTAAAAAAAATTAACCAATATTGTAATGAGCATTATATTTAATTCATGCTTATTTAAATAATATTTAATGAAATTTATAATTGTCTTACTCAAGAAAACAATGCGCAGCACTAACAACCCATTGTGCATTAATAATTGATCCTCCACAATAGTGTTCATAACGTCTATTCCCGTTACTCCACTTCTTTACCGATACCTAGAACATATTTTAAAATAATTTTTAAAAATTTGCTATCATTAATAAAACGCGACTTTAAAAATCATTTACCATCCAAGGAACTTCTCCTTCTTCAGCATCTTGGCCACCAATAATTTTTCCTTCTTTAACAGGCCCGTATAAAGTTCCATTATCTAAAAAATTATTATTAGTTTATATTTTTATGTTTAGTTGAAAACATGTATTATTTTTTATATTCAAATTCATCGCTCTGTAAGCTTAACAAGGCCTTTATATTTATGAGTGTACGAGATAAACTAAAAGATGATTTTATGATATTCCAACATAATAAATCTAGAATTAATTGTTAATTTTCATGAGTAAATCAGTCTACACATTTAACTGCATCGATTAAGTTTCCAAAGTAAAATATTAAACAAATTTTTACTTACAATTACCAATTTCTTTCGCAAAAATTTCGACCAGAAAAAATTGAAAAAGAAAAGCAAAATATAACAATTCAGCCATTTTCTTTTGATGAAGTGATGGAATTTTTGAAATAATATTTAAAATAAACATACGTAAAGATAATTTCTGCTTATATACTAGTCCATATCACAAACAGGAAGAATTATTTCTAGTCATCCCGCAGTTAGAACCTTAAGGATAATTTTCTAAAAACAATATTCTATTGATTTCACATGATTGAAAATATATCATTATCATTTATAAACTATTCACTTTTGTTAACAATTTCCAATAAAGGAAACAATTTATCAAATGCTCTATAGGATAGCATCAAGTAGATATACTAAAAAGTTGTTCCACGCATCTCATTTTTTCACTTCCTGCATCTAATCGAGCGTATCTCTATCTGATTAGATGAAAAAAGAAAATACACATCGATAGATCCCATATGTTGTTACTATATGAATGCTTTTCTATGCTTAGAAGTTTAACGTGCAATCAATGTTGATTAATGTAATTAAAAGTTAAATATATCTTATACTTTTCTTTTTATAAACCATACATAATCTTGACATTTTTTATGGGATGTCCCGGATATGTCAGTCCCATCTACAAAAAATAATTTCAGTATTCTGACTTCCGCTTGACGTAATAATTAATGTGATATTACCAGNGAACCTTAAGGATAATTTTCTATAAATAATATTCTATTGATTTTACATGATTGAAATATATATTTATTTACATATCATTATTTACTTATCATTATTTACATATAAACTATTTACTTTTCTTAACGATTTCCAATAAAGGAAACAATTTATCAAATGCTCTATTCAATAGCTGATGCTATCCTATAGAGCATTTGATAAATTTGTTTAAGTAGATTCAAGCTACACTAAAAAGTTGTTCCACGCATCTGATTTTTTTCACTTTCTGCATCTAATCGAGTGTATCTCTGTCTCATTAGATGGAGGAAGAAAATATATTTCGATAGATCCTATATGTTGTTACTATATGAATACTTTTCTATGCTTAGAAGTTTAACGTGTAATCAATATTGATTAATGTGATTAAAAGTTAAATATATCTTATACGTTTCTTTTTTATAATCTAGACATTTTTATGGGCTGTCCCGGATATGTCAGACTCCATCTACAAGGAATAATTTCAGTGTTCTGACTTCCGCTTGATGTAATTAATAATGTGATATTACGAGCAGAGCCCACAGACTGTAAGAAGATGGGGCACAAGTTATAAAAATGGGCATCGTATGTAGATACATTATGCAAAAAAATACCTATATACATATATGTATATAGATTAATATATTAACATAAAAAATTTATATATTTGTATGTTAATTTTGTCATCAGTAAAAAAGTTTTCTGTAATAAAAATGAATAGCTAATCTTCTATATCTGTAAATGAGAATGTTTATTTGTTTTCTTAGGCCCTCTTAGGCCGTTCGAGAAATTGCTACAAAACTCGGCAGTTCCGTAAATATACTACTAACTCAGATAATGTCGAACTTACTACCCCAAAATATTTATTGGACTTTTATATATTAATTAATTAATTTTTGTCTACATTCGATTTGCAGGATATACATTTAGCACCATACGTGGGTTCGCACATCACCAACGGGGTGGACACGTGTAGTTTTTTGGGTTTTCTTCAAGTTAGTAACACTTTAATAGGGGCCAGTTTTCTATAAACCTCCTTCGGGAAGGCATCGTTTACGTGTCGCGTAGCGTAAACCAAACTAATTGTAATAATTTTTCTGTAAGCTCGCTATTTAAGAGAATAAACTTCTCACTTAGTTATAGGTATTTTGATATTGTTCTTAAAATTGGTTTTTCTACATATATTTTTGAAATTTATGTTTAATAACTCCAAGAGTAGCAATTACTGAGAGGGGTAGGTCTACTTTATAAACAGGCTAGTTTAAAAATAAAATGAGATTTTAGAGTTCCCTTGGGAATTAAGAAAATGACAACTCGACGACAAAGAAGGCCTTTTCTCTAAGCCCATTTTGGGTTGATTCAGGCACCTCAAACTGGATGGTGAGGAACGGAGGCCCCAACGTATTCAAGATAGACCACTCCCGAAAATTTTCTAGATTTTTTATCTTGCCAGGATCGATTCCGGATTTTTCAGAGCGTAGACTTCCGTGTTAACCGCTCTGCCATACAACCAGCTATATGCGATACTTAATGTATTTATTTATTGTTATTATCTTTATTATAGGCAAAGAACCTCCTTGGCTCTCTTGCACCGGCCCTCCCTAGTGCCTTTGTATGGCCTGTAGAATAGAAAATATTAAATTAATTTAAAATAAACGCATCGAAACTATTTAAAAACAGATAAGAATGGCCCATTTATGAAAAAATTAAAACAACTTAATAAAATATTATTATTGGGTTCTAAAATAATATATGTCACATGATCACTATATATTTAATATTTCTTATTAGAAAATGATAATTTACTCTATATTTTCTAGTGTTATTGCTTTTGAATACAATCAATCCTTGAATTAATTTTCATTTTTATGGAATTTCCATATTTTATGAATTAATTGAAATTTATTATATATTATATAATACAATATCTGTTTTCTAGAAACGAGAATTACGTCAGAGTTTTATAATTTATTTTTATCTATCATTTTAATTATTTATTTGTTTTATATATTTTAATATTATTGTCAAAACAATTGAATATTTGAAAACAGTTCTTTAAAATATTGCGATATTTAATTATATTGTATAATTAATGACGTAAATTCAGAAGAATTCCATAAAATTGATAATAATCAAAAATAAAAAATTAATTGAAGTACAAAAATATTGTAGATTATATGAACTACAATTAATGTCATTTTAAAACGTGTAATTGCTAATAACCTTCCATTTTTATCATATCTAACCATTTATTATAAATTTTTGATATAAAAGTAGCCTATGTTAAAATTCTCTAGAAAATAAACGAATGTTTATAGCTGATTTTAATGCTTTTTTCTTCTCTTTTAATTTTAAAAATTCGATGACGTACGAAGCAAGGTTAAAAAGGAAATTACGGTACGTCCGTTTATTAAAATTATATTGATTGGGTGTAACTTTTTTTTGTCATTAATAACAAAATAATGTAATAAAATTGACGTTTATGTATTACAATTCTTCTGGTTTTAATTAATTCTTTTAATTTTTCCATTTACTGCTTTTTTCTTTTTATTTTTTATATAAATTTTAAGAAAATTGAGATAGGGAGATACTTACAATACTTCATTACAAAAGTTAGAAAATTTTGTCTTATTTGGAAAACAGTTCCAACGTTCGTAAGTCAAATAAGTTGTAAATAAGTTGTGATAAGACGAATTATCAGCATAATTAAATTTATTTATTAATTTTTGAAGTATGTCCGAGCGAAGAAAACCATTAAACATGGCAATTGGTCGTGGGTTCGCTCCTCACCAATGAGCTGGCCACCTGTAATTTACCGGGTTTTCTTCTCATTTCTAACACCTAAATAGGAGACAGTTTTCCATAGAAAATTCTCCTGGAGGCATTCCCTGTTAACCATTTCCCTGATCGTCGTTTTGTGTTGCATTACTCATCGATCCAATCAAATCAAATTTTAAATTAATTTGTAAAATATTAATTTTTCTTTTTTAATTTCAAGTTACCTTTGTTCTATTCTTGAAATAAGGTTTTATAACAACTTTAATATTTCTAATTATCTCTATGGGCAAATCGATTATTCAAGCAATCTGAAGAATTTCTTCTCATCCTCAGATAAGAAAAGTTTGTCCATTCTTGTGTTACTATATGAATACTTTTCTATGCTTAGAAGTTTAACGTGTAATCAATATTGATTAATGTGATTAAAAGTTAAATATATCTTATACGTTTCTTTTTTATAATCTAGACATTTTTATGGGCTGTCCCGGATATGTCAGACTCCATCTACAAGGAATAATTTCAGTGTTCTGACTTCCGCTTGATGTAATTAATAATGTGATATTACGAGCAGAGCCCACAGANTAATATTTCTAATTATCTCTATGGGCAAATAGATTATTCAAGAAATCTGAAGAATTTCTTCTCATCCTCAGATAAGAAAAGTTTGTCCATTCTTGAGATATCTCGTTTAATGTGTGTAATTTAATATTGCACACATTAAACACATGTTTTTAATATTGCACACATTAAACACATGTTATTAATATTGCACACATATTAAAAACAATATTCTAATTTAATCATTTTATTCAATAGTACTGTACAATACTCGTATAGTTTGCAAATATTCCTAAAGGAATTAATTAATATATTTTAGTGAGGTAGACTGAAATTTTATTAGTGATTTCTCATTGATATTCAATAATATTTGAACCATTAATACTTGTTTCGAAAGTTCATTAAAATAATTTATTTTGTAACCAAAGAATGTGAGATTTATGTACATTAAAATTTACATTATAGCATTAAATATATATAAATATAACACCAATTTCCACGACTGTTGTTGAAAAAACGGAGGGAAATAAATAAGTGTCACAAGAATTAAATGAAAATACATTTTATTGTCAAAATAAAATGTCATACAAGTACACATACAATTCTGGATTGCATTAAAGAGCTGAAAAATTCAGATAAACAGGACATGTGAATGATAAATCCACGTGGAAACTTTTATAAAGATTGTCGTATGGAACATTGCGAAAAATAGAAACCGAATTGATGTAAAGAAACAAAATACAGTGGGTGATCGGTTAACGAACAGTTCGGATAGCGAGCAAATCGGACAGCGAACACTTTACTGAACAAACATAAAAAAGAAGCGACGGAAAATAACGAATACCGATTGATTTTCCCTTGTCTTCAGGTAACAATTCGAAATCTTTCGGAGCGCGGAAGACGTCGACATCGACGCTCAACCCGATACTGATCGGATAGTATCCCTCCGAATTTTGAAACTCTTCCTTGTAATTCCAGCTTTTTGTTTACCTTTCTGACAAATATTTTTTTATAGTCCTCGCGAGACTGTCGGATGGGCACTTGTTAAGTTTTGCGTCGGGGTTTATTTACGAAAGGTAAAAGTTTAACTGTCCCATCGGATATTCGTTAACGTTTTAATACCAAATTTCGAATTTCATCTGGCCTTGCATTTAAATAAATTTTGTGGGCTAGTTGATTTCTGTTCTCTGAATTTTGAAAGTGCTTTTCTGAACTTTTTATTTAAAAAAGAAACTGATAATATTATGGAGCCTAAAAAGAGCAGTGTCAAGAAGTGTGCTCACCGTAGAAATCAAGTGAGAGATAATAACCAAGGTAGAAAGTGGGCACAGGATGTCTGATGTTGCTAGGCTGTATGGCTTAAACAGGTCTACAGTAGGTACAATCTTAGCTAAGAAAGATATATCAAGAAGTCTCAAGCTGCTAATGAAGTAATGAAAATCACATTTGAGAAATAAAGAGCATTTTAGAAGTCATAACGGAACCTGAAACTGATCTGACGACAGAAAAACTCCGAAAACTCTCAAATGAAGAATACCAAGAAACTCAGCGAGATGTTTTCTTTCGGAAAAGAGGAAGACGAAAGAAGACCAATATCGACATCTGCTACTAAAGTTCTTTTGAAGTGGCATCCAAACTAGAATAAGGTTAGTGGGGTTGAGGATCTCTACAATTACAATGCTATTAATTACTTCCGAAAAATCCTAAAGAAAAGAGAAAAGCAATCGAGATTGGACAGATTCTCTAACCCCCATAATAACATGAACTAATAAAAATGTAAGACTGCATATATATGTATTTTTACTATTACATATAAATAAACATAGTAAAAAAGCATATATTTTTTAATTTTTGGAGTCTCCGGAACGAAATAATCAAATTTCCATAAAAACCTATGGTAAAAAGATANGTTAATTACTTTCTCTTCTTATATTAAATCATTCATCAATCATCATCTGTAGAAATGAAGAAAGATGAATGAATCTTACCATCGAAAGATTCTTAAAAATTACAATTTAGTAATTTTAAGAAATCAAAAACTTTATTCGATTAAAGTTTAACCAGATAATTTAATATTTTCTTTGAATTTTAAACGAGCAATTATTTATTGTGACTTTGTAACAATGCCAGGCTGCAATTTTAATCATATTTTTAATTTATTTAATTTAAAAAATAAGACAAAGCAAGCAATTATTTATTATGACATCGTCACAATGCCAGGCTAAACATATGTTCTCCACTTCAAATCAGTAGTGTCTTGCCCCTGTACATCATACTTTTCCATTAACAGTAGAGTCGTGCCGGTCATCTATCTAATACCTTTCAGAAATTTTTGAATTAATATAAACGTGACTTCCGGTTTTCATCGGAAGCTTTTATATAATTAACCAGGGCTTTCTATTCTTACGCTTTCCGTATCTTGTCTTGTCTTTTATATATGTAACTCATTCTTAAGATTAAGGTAGGACAGACAGACCAACGACAGTGGGAATTTATAGATCTATATTTTTAAAAAATGGAATTTAATTAAATTTTTAATAAAAATTTTAATGGAAATTTTTTTGTAATTATAACTTGATGAATTACTTATTGTCAAATTAAAAATTTTACTATTCTGAATGCAAAAGTGTCCTTGTGGTTAAAAGATTTAAGATCTATTGATACGTATCTCCATCCTGCATTTAATTAATTTAATTAGATAGAAAGATATGGCTCATTGGATTCAGGAAATTAAAAATAGGGACCACATGAGGCAACTTTCTATTCTAACAACTTGAAACTATTCCATAGAATGTTCCATTAATCATCTTCTTTATTGACTATAATAAATACAGTTCATAAATTAAAATGACTTCGATATGAATACCTTAAGAACTGCGGGTGAATTCAAATAATTCTTCCTGTTTTATTGTTTTAGATGGGATATAAAGCCAGCCATATACGTTTACTTTTACAGGAAACGTTATATTTCGTTCAACGATGATTAAATTCTTATGGTTTCTCTTCATGCAATTTTTCCTGATTGACATTCTCGCGCAAGAACTTTGTAATGGTGAAAAATATTTATTTTTGAAAAAATTGCGTATAATTTAACTATTACTGCATAATTTTATATTAGACTTAACCTTTGAATTCAATACGTTAATAAGCCTTATGTTAGATTTATAAAAATCCTAGTTTATATAAATTAATGTAAATATTTAAAAGTTATATAAGAAATTTAATTCGCACGTTTAGATAATGAAGCTAAGTGCGGATTGCAATTTTTAAATGACGAGAAGGTTGTAGGAGGCGAAGATGCTAAAGAAGGAGAAGTCCCTTGGATGGTATAATATATTCTTATAAAATACAGGATTTTAAAATAGGAATTATATGAACATTTGTTAAATTATTCTAGGCAATGCTTTCCTTTCATGGCGAATTTGTATGCGGGGCGTCAATTATTGATGTGAATTGGGCGCTTTCTGCTGCTCATTGCTTTGCCTAGTAAGTCAGCTTAACGTCTCTTTAATAGCATTATGTCTTCATTGTCCAGTAGTTGCTATTAAAATATGCATTTCTTTCAGCTCAAAAAAACCTGAAGATTACCATTTAACAATTGGAACTATTAATAGATATGGCATAGGCGGTGTTAATGTAACTTTAGAAAAAATAATAATTCACGAAAATTATGAAAACCTTACTAATGACATTGCTTTATTAAAAACTGAAACTATTGAGTTAAATAATAACATTCAGCCAATCCAATTAAGTACCAAAAAAGCAGACAGTGGCACACTTGCGACCGTTTCAGGATTCGGAACTATTTTTGAATGTTGGTATACGTTTTAAATACAAAATGCAGGATAAACTTTCCATTTATCCGAAAATATCGACAGATTCCTCTGAAATAATGCGTTTAAATTATTATTCTATACTACTTATACTTACATATTTTATTATTTCTACTGTTTTTTTTTATTATAGCTGCTATTTTGTTTAAAGAGAAGTTACAGCTTGCTAATTTAACAATCCTCAGCAACGAGGAATGCCAACAATGGTTCAATGAAATGAATGTATCAGTTGGAATCAAAGAGAGTCACTTATGTGCAGGGGATAGAAAAGGAGGGAAAGGAGCCTGTTTTGTAAATATTGATCTAATACTTTATATATAATTTAAATATTTTATATTTTTAAAATATTATTTGCTTTTATTTACAGGGTGATTCAGGAGGACCTCTTTATATCAAACATAATAATGGAGTCGATTCCCAATATGGGGTTGTATCTTTTGGCGCTGGATGTGCTCGACCTAATTTACCAGGAGTTTATGCAAATGTCAGTTTTTTCAATGATTGGATTGAAGAAAATAAACAGAACTGAAAATAATAAGTCTGTTTAATCAAGAATATAATTTTGTTATTGTCTATCGTATATTTCTAATTATTTAGCTAGAATATTCAAGTTGAATATTCACAGTATATGAATAGTTTTAAATTGCACTATATAAGCCTACCATAAATTTCTCATTTGTAGACATAGGCCTACAAATGTATTTTTTTTTTAATCTTATAAAACGTATAAATTTATATAGTTTAAGCAAAATTTTCACATAAGAGCTATTTTGTACATGTATTATTTAATTTAACAATTTTTCCATAGTTAATCTTATGTTATCTTTAAGTATACCCGTGCTATCCTCCCATTGAATATGACGTTCATTTTAACTTTTTAACTCTTAATTATTTTGAAAATTTATAATATTTGGTAGGTTTATTCAAATGACATTTTAATAAAAGTTTCATTAAATTAGCATTTAAATAACATTTGACTGATTTATTTTTATATTTCATAACACTCGTGATTAATGCCCGTCCGTACGAAGTAACGATAACACTTGATAAATAAAGTCTGGAATCAAGCTGATTCTCAAAATTAACTGGAAATGTTGCTGCTTTATCGTTTTACTTTAAGAATTACATAAATTTCGGCAATAACAAAGGAAATTATTATTATGATCTAGCTTAACTGATGGAAGTGGTATTTACTCCTAGATTATTTTTGAATTTGCTTAACCCTGTTTTTGAGAGGTAAACAGATTTAAATTCAGGATTAGCGTAGTAAATTGGTGCAAATAGTTAATGAATATATATTTTTTATAATAAATTAATAAGCGTAAAATTCAATGTACAGTACAGGATGTGTCAAGAAGAAGGATAGATACTTCGAGAGGGAAGAATAGAAGGTCTATGTGAATATATGGCGATTTTTTAATATAGTACACTATTAACAAATATACAGTGCAGTGGCGGCTCGAAGCATATAATATTGAGGTGCTGCCGAAGGAGGGCGAGAAGACGAAACGTAATAAATCGTTTAGTTTTAATAAAAACATTAAATCTAACTTAAAATTAATCAAAAACCAGAGTCGATCAAAACATTAAACTAAATCAAATCGATTCTTTCAAGATTGCGTGATCGCGCCCTCCTGAAACGTCATCTCTTAAGTAGACCCCATGAGCCACTACTGATAGAGCGACATGACTTTGTCGTAATTTGACATATCAAGCTTTAATGTAGCAGCTATGATTGCACTTACAGTCTGTTGCACCTGAAGATTAGCCATGACGGAATGGAATGGTGACATGAAAGAGGTTCTCGAAGTGGTCACGAAGACAGTTTAGGCTACTTCTTTGAAGACCGTCCTTATATTTTTCGATAACTGCGACAGTAATATTTATCCAGTCAATAAGTTGGTCACGGAAGTCTACCTTCTTTCGATACAACTCACCTTTCATCCAGCACATATATAGTAGTGCAGCAAAGTTAGATCCGAAGACCTAGGTATTCACGAATCGCGTGACGTTTGTGCATTTTGTCTGACACCATTAATTTTAGGGCACGAGACCTCGTGGACTTTTTACTTCTCTTGTTATGAGGAATCACCTTTCCTCCTGATACATCCCCAATATAGGCTATATATATATATATAGGGTAATCATAATTAATTAGCAAGTGTTCAGAGCTTTCTGTAGAAAGGATTATTGGAAAATCGTATCCAAATTTGACAAGAATTCTATCCTGAGTATGCTGTTTCGAATTCGAAACAATTTTCATTTCAAAATTCAGACACTGGACGAAATATGGCGCTGGTCTTCCTTTAATGCGCAAATTACATACATATACATTAATTTTAAATATAATACGATAAACTAAATCACTATATTTAAATTAAGAATTACCAGTAGAAGATGATTTTCCTATAAATTCTGGATTGAGTCAAGAAAACATAAATCCATCCTCATTTAATTAATTTGCTTATTTTAACGATAAATAACAATATGCATTTTAGTCCCACGCTTCTGGTTTCATTGATGGCATAAGATGTGTGGATTTAAGAAAACTTCAGATGCATAGTTCTTTTAAGCGTTTATTGTATGCCATTTCCCACAATATATTGGATGATCTCTCTTTATAACTTGAGTTTTATTATCAGATCTAAAAAAAAACAGTTAATAAAAATAACGTTACTTTTATTTATTACCGTAACAGAAGCATTTTACTGTTAAACCCTCACAAATTAAATAAATTCAGCCAACCATATTAATCATATTCATAAATTAATCTAATTTATCATTGCAGAACCTTAAAAAATGCACAATAAATAAATCAAGAATATTTACAAAGCATACAGTTTCTAATTTTCTTCGTTTTATAATTAAATTTTCCAATTAATTCAAATTTTAACTAATTATAAATTATTGTAATCAAGTATTTTAAATATTTTTAATACAAAATTTCGCAATCGCAGAGATGATGACAGACATATTTTCTAGGATTTACACAACTTAATAAGAATATGTAGCAGCAAAAGATAACATAAAGAAGTTAAACGAGTGGGCTTATCCTTGAAATATTTTTTCTAGATAAAGTTCCATTTATAAGTGCGTTTAAATAAAAATGCGGATAAACAAGTCAATAACATGAACTATTTCAATATGTCGCTTCCTATTTTTGTTATTAACGTACAAGTGTGGCCATCTGTTATCTGTTTTTAAAATGATTTTAGTTATTTTGTATTAAAATAAAGTGTGTAAAATATTCGATTGATACAAATAAATACATTTCTTTTTAGAATTATCTGTATACCATTTAGTTTTGTAGTTTACATGAAGATATCTTGAAAGTAATTAATAAAAATAAAAGGTTTCATAACTATGTCTCCTTTTTATTTTTTCTGCTATATTTTCATGTCAAATTTATGTAGCCTCAAAAACTATCTTTATAACAAGTGTACAGACCGGCCCCGCAATATGCATTACCGGTATCTACTCAGTAAATTACAATATTCAGAAAATACGTAGGTATGCGATTATAACACAAATGATTGAACAGTAAATAATAAAAATATAAGATAAAAGAAATTAATAATAAAAAAAACAAAATTAACAAACTATGAACAATTATATACATTTACAGCAAGTTGCCATAAGTAATACATATCAAATAACATTATGGTTCATATCATAGAGGAGTTTAGAGTTACACATAAGAAATTCAGAAGTAGCATCTTGCTTACTGGAAAGCAATGCTCACATCACAATTTCTTAAAAAGGGTTCACATCAAATTGAACAAGATACACACCGATGCATAAAGTAGAAACCTAGAATAAAGTTCAATGGTATGTAATAAGACAAGAATTTTATGAAAATGTGCAAAGTTTTATAGTTATGACACAGTATAGTACTTATGTCTGAGCACAGGTTCGTATTTCCTGGTAGAACTATGAGTAGTTGAAGCATACAGGTGCAAAGTAATTAGTAGACATATTCAGTTCTGTTTTGATACTTGGTTCGTTCTCTAAGATATGTTGGGCATGTTTTGTCCATGGTATTGTGGTTATGTACGGTTCTATTCTCCCTTAGACAGTTGGCACACTTAGGTATACGAGGGCTGTTCAAAACGTATCGGACCTTTGCTCGGCAAAAATATATTTATTGATTTTGAGGTACAAAACCCTAATCCCCTTCAAAGTAGTCTCCTTGGTAGTATATACACTTCTCCCAGCGTTCCTGCCATTGCTGGAAACACTGCTGGAATGCATCTTTTGGAATGGCCATCAGCCGGTCCGTCGCATTCCCCGAAAAACCTAAACACGCCCCTGGCCGTTAGTCATTAATGAAGATAATGATTTCTCACAGTACTTCCAAAAATTTAGGCTCTTCCTCATTACGGAAGTTGTTGATCCACCCAACGTCTATCGATAGTACAATTGTTAGACGTTGGGTGGATCAACAACTTTCATATTATAGATAGGTCTTGCGTGTCGATTGAATGACCCGCGCGATTCCCAGACCTTACATCGTTAGATGTTTTTCCAGGAATACTTGAAAGGCCACCGTTTATCAGCAATAACTTGCCGACATTAATCACATGAAAAAAGAGGATCATTGAGGCCTATCACTCCATCACTAAACAAATTGTTACGTTCCGACATGAATGGGAAGAACCTCTCGACATATGAATAACATGAAACGATGGACATATCGAATATACAGTACTTGTATATATATTCGACATGTCCATCATTTGGTGCCTATGTAATTTTGGTGCGCTTTTCTTATGTATGGAGATTTTTGCCACACAATTTGTATTTTTTTTCTTGTGGAATGGAAAGTAGAAATGAAAATATTGTTTTATATTTAAATAAAAACAAAATTTTTTTAACTTAGGAAAAATTAGTAGCAGCTGCAAGAATTAAGCAGTTGCTAATTTCTCCTAAGCATTAGTGTGAATAGAGTGAGGCCCACCAGTGGCCTCAGTCTATTCCGTTCCCTGAACACTAGGAGTTCGGTCGTGGGTTCGCACCACGCTCGGAACTAAAGAAAGAAACTATGGAGCGTGTCTCATGTACTCACTGGGTAAAAATAGATGCATTTGTTTGATATACTGTATATATATTTTGCTCTTTATTTATAAAAATAAATTATTTTTGTTGTTATATATTGGAGGAGAGGGAAGCGAATATTAATTTAAGACAGTTCTAAGGAGGCACGACTAAAAACGTTTGTGATATGATAATTTTAAGTTATAATCTAGCAGATAAAGTCTGCTAAATTTTAATTTTGAATTACATTATTCGACGTATTCAAAATTAATTTAATTCTTTAGTTTTCTTTCTTTTTTTGTAGAATGAAGAATTTTATATGCATATGTAAGCATTTATTTGTCTCATTTGAAACTATTTCGGGCTATGCAACTGATCGATGGTAACACGATGTATAGTAAAACATAAAAAACAAACAGCAATATATCAAATGAATTTGTTTTTAACATAAATAATGATTCACCACTCTCGTTTTTTGACATTAGAGCATTTTTAAGCAAATCAACATCAAAGATAATCTGAGAAAAATTGATTCAAAATATTTTGTTCTGATGTTTTAAAAAATTCTAACTACAAAGAATTTAGAGTAGGTTTCGTAATATTTTTGTCATATTAAAAAAATCATCAATTTCATTAAATAAAATCCCTCAGTGGCTTACATGTATTGTACCATCCATATATACACATTAAATATTCGTAAATATTTTTATCAATTGCTTCTTATATTGATTCTTTCATTTTTTGAACTCAATGAAGTATTTTCTACATCATTAACTAAAAATCTTCTATATTTTATAACGAAAGATCCTAAGATATACATTCCAAAGATCCTTTGAATATCCACAGCACTGGGTTTTTTGAACATAACTGTTTTCCCAAATGTCAGGAGCTTGCACTAGTGTTAAAAATTTTGGGAGGTTGTTGCAGCTATCACAATAATCACACAAACACAAGTTTGTGATTATTGTGATAGCTGCAACAACCTCCCAAAATTTTATCAACTTATCTACAGTTTATCAGCTGTGTAATTGAGGAACTAAACTTGCGTTTAGATCCTCAATTACACAGCTGGTAAACTGTAGTAAATTGTTTTCCTATTCGAGTAATGTGCAGATACATTGCACCCAAATAAGTACAGTAAAAATGTTCAAAAATAAGGAGCAAAAATTGCAATTCGATACTGGGCTTATCATCTACCAGTAAATTATCGATAGGGCCTATTTATCATTTTCAACAAATGTTGATATTTATCGTTGACAATAAATACTAATATTTAACATTGTCGATAAAAGTCGTTACTTTATTGGTTTCGGTTTGATATATCGTTTATCGACACAGCATTACTGAACAGCTGAAACTGCAAATAAACAAGTCTTGAGTATAAATCCTGTACTGAAAAACGAGATACCAAAATAATAATATATTTGTTTTAGCCCTGATGTGATCTAAACCCACATCTTTGTTAATATTTCGAATATTTTAATCGATTAAGTTAGTATACAAACATCTAGTACTGTACATACGGGTCAAGGGAAACGGATATTATAACAGAAACATTAAATATAGGCTAAAATTATTTAATATGATTTATGATTATTTAATACTCTAGAAAACGTATTTGAATAAACAATATTTCATAAAAAGCGTGTGTCGTAAAAGCGGAAATAATAACAATTCAACGTTTATCAATATCGTTTCGATATAACAGAGAGAAAGGAAAAAATAAAAGGTAATTGACGACTTATCTGATAGAAACCCTCATTTCCATTAATGTTTATGCGTGGAAAACCTTTACCGTGAAAACTAAATGGAAAAATATAGGCCAAGGACGCATTTAATCCGCTTCGATTCACGAGATTCCTTTTTTATAATGATTAATAACAGGAAATTTCACTGTTTGATACGATTCGAGCACGCAATATTGTAAATATTTGATTGACAGATGTTAATGACGGTCGTACCATTACATAATTTAATAACAAAACGTTTAATCAACACCTAATTATATTTAATTTTTAAAATTAAAAGTAACCACGTGTAGACATTACCATCTTGTGTAGGCAGCCATGTTTATAGTCCCGCATCGAATTAAACAGTTCCGAAATATTTTAATTAAATCTTTACAAAAACTTAGATTAATTATATATTAACTTAATATTTATTTTTTGTATAAATAATATTTTAAAACAATAAATATAAATTAATATTAATCAAGGCGTATATGATATTATGTTGTTGTTATTTACGTTTCGAAGAATTATATTTTTAACCAAACAATTATTTATAATAATAATTAATGTTAAATAATCTTTAAAAATAAATAATAAAATATTTTAAAAATTAATAAGAAATAAATACGAAAAAGGAAAGTTCTTGTAAAAAAATTCGTTAAAAAATTTTTAAAAACGGTGGCGCTCTATTTTTTAAATTTGAAAATTTGAATTTTTAATAGAAGGAAATAGCTAATAAATATTTTCATATATTTATTTTTATAGAATTTTTATATTTTATAAATGAACATTTTAATGTTAAATTCGCTTGAAATTTTATTACATCATTGCGCTATTGAGAAGTTCAGAGAATTGCTTCAAAACATTGGCATAAATCACACCCACATGATGAAGACATCGAAATCAGGTCGCGCGATGTTTTTGTCGACAAGGTGATATGCCATCCTGTATTGCATTAGTCGAAAGTAAAGGACATAGAGGCATTTTATTGACATTCTTCTATCATTCTTATTGATTAAACGGGGTCAATGGGTCGCACCTGCTTCAGAAACCACCCTTTGCAAGGTCCGAACCGCGGAATAACCTAAATCGGAACCTTAATAGTTCCTCCCTATGCACTTGAAACGTATATATAAGTAACGATTACCTTCACTTTTCATTGTTTAATCGAAGGTATCTCATCTTGATACGTTCTCCACACAAAAATGGCCGACGTATTACAGTTCTTTCTCATCGCGGTCTTTTTCCTAATCGAATATTCCATGCAAGAAGCTGATTTTGGTAAGTACATGTTTTATTTTAAACTCTAGACATTACTAAAGTTTATAAAAAATTATTTTTACAGTAAATTTTTTATTATTTAAGTTTTCTTGTAAACTTTTTAATTATTAATTTTATCAATACATCAAAACAGGCCTAATATTCCATATTTGTAATACTATAACATGAGTTATCGAAGTTGTCTTTTGTCAATTTATATAATGTAATATCAAGTTCTATTATAGAAATATTAAGTATTAATAAAAATAACAATAAAAGTTTTAAAAATTTATACTTTTATTGTTTTAGAGAATGGAACTCCCTGCGGAAGACAGTTTGTAAGAAATGGAAAGATTGTCGGAGGTAGAAATGCTGAAGAAGGAGAAGTTCCTTGGATTGTAAGTGGATTATGAAATTTTAATTTTAGCAGAATTGTTTATACTTTAAGCCGATTTTTATTGAATTAAAAAAAATTGTTCAGGCATCCATATATCTTCGTGGAATTTACAGTTGTGTGGGATCAATCATAGCAAAGAGATGGATTCTTACCGCAGCTCATTGTTTTATGAGGTAAATCAACTGAATATTAACCATTCAAATATTGATACAATATACATTATATCTATATTTTTGCAGCACGTCCAAACCTCGAAATTATTACATTCGTGTTGGGAATTTGTATATGAATGGTCAAGGAAACGATTTAGATATAGAAAGCATATACAAGCATCCAAATTATAGAAATCCTCGTCGTTATAATAATGACATCGCTTTGTTGAAGCTTAAAAACGATATCGTTTATAATAAATACACGTGGCCAATCTGTTTGGATAGGAATAATGTTTCTCTAAATGATAAAATTGCTACCATTGCAGGATGGGGAAAACTAGAAGAAGGTTAGTTTTTTACAATTATTATTCTATATAGTGAGCCTTCTTATTTATTACTTTTTCTTAACAATCTAATGATTATTATGAGATGCAGAATGAAACCTTGAAATATATCATACATAAGAATATAAGTAGTATTTTCATTATCCGGCTTTTATAATAGTTGTTTCTAATTTAAGGTGGTGCATATCATCCTGAGATATTACAATTAGTTCGGTTACCAATTGTCAATAATGAAATGTGCCAACAGTGGTTTAGAAACAACGGTAAAAAGTGGGTTATTGTCGAAGACAATCAGATATGTGCCGGTTATGAGGAAGGAGGGAAAGATGCCTGCCAGGTAAATTTAATGCATTTCCCGTAAACAAAAACCTGTAAATTCTTTAATTTCGTCTTTTTATTTTCATTTTTAGGGTGATTCCGGCGGACCCCAGTACATTAAGCAAGGCAATAGCCACATTCTTATTGGGGTCGTTTCTTCTGGTATCGGTTGCGCTCGACCACAAACACCAGGTTTATATACTCGTGTTAGTTCTTACATATCTTGGATTGATGAAACTATAAAGAACAATTCTTAACTTATATTACTATTATTTATTATGTAAATAGTTATTTTACTACGGGTAATTTTTATACATATGTTAGTAGTTATTTAACAAGAATTCGAATGATGTAACATATGAATATGTTATAAAATGTATACTAATTTCTGTATACAGTAAACCCTCGATTTAACGGACTAATTGGAAAAGTGAGAGTCCGTTAAATCGAATATATTTTTAAAAAATATATTAACGTTCTACTAGTGTTCTACTGGAGAATAAAGAAAAGGTTCTTGTACAGTTATTTCCTTCAGGGAAAAAAGTTTTGTCCGTTAAACAGGGGTCTGATAAATCGAGTGTTTACTGTATTTATAAAGTTCTGTACATTTTTATAATTTTAATTTTGTTGAATTATGTACCACCAAGTCTCAGTATAATTGTTTCATTACTTTTATTTAATTTTTATTTAAACTTCTGATTGTACAATAAAATTCCATTAAAAATTAGGAATATTTATCTTTGAGTAGATACAAGGAATAAAATACTGTATAAAATTTATTAAATAAATAAAATATATAAATAACAAAAAAATTTAAATGATTTAAACATAAATTATATATTTAACTAATACATTTTAAACGAGATGTTTTATATTAATCTTTAAAATTAATTTGAAAATTTTATATTAAATAATAATAATAATAGTTTTAAAATATTTGAATTTTTACTCGGCAGATGGTAGTAAAATCGATTTTAAATAATTTAAAATTCATTTTTCCCTTTTCCTGATTTAATATAATCAATGTTTAAATAAATAAAAAATTAAAAATAATCGAAATAATTTAATTGAAAACTTTAATTGCATTTTTGAGAAATTTAATTGTGTTTTTTTTTCGTAAATTAAATTAAAAATCCGATTTCATTGTTGAAAACTACAAATTTTAAATTATTGAAAAAAGAAATTTAATTTCATTTTTGAAAATAACACATTTAAATGTTTAACATTTTAATTGCATTAAAAAATTACAAATTTTAATTGAGTTATGAAAATGAAAATTTATAATTAAATTATTTGAAAAACGATATGTAAAATCAATTAAATTTTATCGTTAATTTAATGAAATTGTATCTTTTAGTTCAAAAAAAATTCATTTAAACTGTTTTTTTTACCAATTATTTATCTTTATTTTTTAAAAAAATATAAATAACAATTTAATATGATTTAGATTCTGAATTTGTAATAATAAACAAATCTTACAATTGAAGATACTAAAATTAAAATTTATTCAATCATTTAATTATTTCAATATTTAATTTCTCTAATTTTTTTAACAATGAAATAAATTTAAAAAAAAATACAATTGAAACTTATATTTTAAGATATTTTAAATTGTGCACTTTACGAACAACGTAATTAAAATTAATTATTAAAAATCGTTGTTATTAAAATTAAAGTTTGCATTTTTAAAATACTTTTCTTTTGCAAAATTTTTACGATATTTATTGCTGTAAAACTTAAAAAATTCGGGATAAAAATGGCTTATTTAAAAGAAATTTATTAATTTAAAAAAGTGCATTAATTAAAAAGAATTTTTTTAAAAATTAATCGCAATTAACAACCTATTTAAATTAATAGCTTTAGTTTAATTAATATTAAAAATTAATAAAACCCTTAGAAACAATTTAAAAAATGTTATTTAATAATAAAAATTATCAGTTTTCACTCACCGAAAATATAAATATAGATAATTGTCTATAGAATCTGCGTAGAAGATTTATATTACGTTGGAACATAATGTAAATCAGAATTATTCTTTACTTTTAAGAATAAATAACTGAAATCTTATGTGATATTCTTAATAAATATTAATATTAAAAATTTAAATATATGACAATATAATGCAAAATCGATTTATTGATAAAATAAACAAAGAAATAAAAGAGTTTATTGACAAAAAGACAGAATATCAGCATTTGAATATAATACAAATCTTATAGAAATTCCAAAAAAATAAAATATGATAAAATCGAAAATTCTCTTTCGATTATTTTTTTAATCTTTTTTTTTATTTTAAATTTATTTTTTAATAAAAAAAATCCAATGTTTTGTAGATTGGTTATCGGCATATTGAGGACAAATTATATTATCTATTGAAGTAGAACGGAAGATATGATTATTCTGAATAATTATTTTATTCTATTCACGAAATTATAATGGATAAATTTTAAAATATGCAAATTTATAATAAAAATTCTATTTTTCATGTATATAAATTTTATACACGTAAAATGTCAATGGTTGAAATTATTATTTTTTTTTAAAATTTTACTTTTATTTGTGATATAAATTTATTTAAAAAATAATTCTTGAAAAAATATATATATACATATATTTTTTTTAAACGTAAAAACATTAAAATTTATTTATAAAACTTGTTTTAATGTATACAGCATCTCAATTTTAAAATTGTATTTTATAGGACATAATGTTTTACATTTACATATATTATTACATAATTTGTTTATTAAATTATATAAATATGTATTCTTTACTTATTCAATTTTTATACGTATATAAATATAATAATAATAACTATTATTATTTTTAAATGAAACATTTACATTATTTTATAAAATAAATAATAGAATAACAATATTGACAATATTATTTACAGTAGAATAATGGATATAGAGGAACAAAATCTTGATACCAGCATTTAAATTAGTTAATAACTAACACTTTTTGTCTAATATACACCATTTTTTAGTTTATCTACCATTAGAATACATACAAACAATCAATGTTTGTTGTATTTTTGCAAAAATACAAGGGGTTATGTATAATTCTAATGATAGAAGTCAGTTCCACCTTTATAGTGTAAGCTGTATTTTTGCAAAAATGTAGCTGACAATGTAGATTTTCTAGTAATAGATGTCAGTTTTTATTCTTGATTCTTTCAGGTTTATTCTTATAAATTGTATTTTTGCAAAAATGCAACCGACATATCAGGTAGAATGCATCCTGATCTCATGGTAGAAAAACTAAAGATGACCTAGATCAAGATTGCAAATGTTCTTAATTAATTTAAATGATGATAGCAAGGTGTCTTTCTATATACCTTAAACTTTAACCAGATGATTCCACATTATTAAAATAATGTTAAATAATTTAAAAAAACACGTGCAACAAATATATAAATAATTTGGCAAAAATGTGCAAATATTTACAAGCAAAAGTTCTAAATAAAAATATCACAGTTATTTGACCATAGATACATTAATTTATAGGAAAAATAAGAAAATATAATCGACATAAAAACATAATTTTTTTAACAATGAAATACACAAAAAACACGAAACAAAATTATGTATAAATTAATAAAATATTCACAGTTTAAAATTTATCTTTAGAATAAATATAACAAAACAATAAACGATCTTTACAACATAATTTTATGTAACAAAATAAATATGAGATATGTAAATCATTTAAAAAAAATAAAAATAAATGCATTAACTAGAAATTCAATTAATTGTTTCTCATTGTAGATTCAATCCAAGTAAGATACGAAGCTACTTTTGTATAGATACCAGGCATTTTGGCATGGCCGCATTTTATTCCATGAGATACTATACCGACTATTGTATATCTATCGTTTATTTTCATAAACAGTGGTCCTCCCGAGTCTCCCTGCATAAAAAAGAATTATTAAATTTATATATTTTCTTGAAATATTGAATATAAACGTGAACTATTTGCAAATGACATACGTGGCATGAATCTTTCCTTTTATTTTCATATCCTGCACATAGCTCTGTATTTCTTACTCTAACATAAGAATATCCCGAATCATTAAACCACGTTAGACATTTACTAATGCTTATTATTGGTAATTCAACTTTTCGAAGACTGGGAGATAATACGCTGGTATCACCTGAAAAGAAAAGAAAAAAATAATATTTAAAAAGTTAAAATTTATGCTGAAAATTAATTTATGCTCTTTTATATATTTAAAAGTAAAATTTAAAGCATTAACATTTATATTAAACTAATATATAAAGAGTGAAGCGCAAGAGACGTGAAATTAGTTCTTATTGTGTATCGTGCAATTAACGTTTGATATTCTGCAACAGTAAGTGTTTACATTAATATTTTTACTTGCAGAAAAATTTAAAAACATGAAATATTTTTAATATAATTAAATCTTAGCATATTATTAATTTTTAAATTTCTAAAAAACCTTTACCTTTAGTAACTCCCCATCCTGCCACTATTCCTGTCTTTCCAATAGCATCAAACGAACTCTCAGGAAGACAAATTGGAGAAGCAAATGCATCGAATTCAATGTCATTTTCCACCTTCATCAATGCAATATCGTCATTGAAATCGTACGATTGATCAAAACCCTTATGTTTGATCACTTTAATCACTTTCTGAACGATCAGTTTACTTTCTTTTTCTGGATATACTTTGAAGCTTTTGATGCGAATTAGAAAATCACTAGGTCCTTCACTGTAAGAGATTATTATTTAGATTTAAAATTGATAAATAAATTAATATTTATCCTATATAAAACTGTAACTTACTCAGGATGAATGCAATGCGCAGCCGTTAATATCCAACGTTTATTTAAAATAACAGCGCCACATCTATGTGCCAAGGCTGTCCTATTCTCATTTAGCCCAACAACTGAAATCTAAAACGTAATTATAAAATTGTATCAGTTAAACTAAACTTAAAAACAAATAAATTAATACAAAAATAAAGCAAAAATAAACCATACCATCCAAGGAAACTCTCCAAGATAACTTTCTTCTCCATCTATAATTTTCCTCTCCCTCACGAATCGTCTACCACAATCCATATTAATCGCTAAAAATTCAAATTCTATTTGTTAATATTATATAAATTATATAATTTTTTTTTAAAATTAAATAATAAAATAACTGACCAGCAGCGTTAGATTCTTTCCAAACAAACATACTGCACATTAATATAAAAGTAAAGCATTTACGTAAAGATAGAGAATACATGGCCATTAGTATGTTGAGAACTAAATATATGTTCGACTGTTTATGTTGTTATGTTTATATATGTATTTATATACATACCTTTCAGTAGGCGGGGTGATTTATATGTGGGTTATCCGCTATAATGGAGAGCCAGGCCGAGATTTTGATCCAGGTGCTAACCTATTGATCCCAAAACACATCTTCAAGTTATATGGGATGTAATAGAAATTAGGTTAAATACATGACAGTGAAAGCAATGTCATTGTTTACCAACAATCGACGATCTCTTTTATCTTCTTGGAATTTCTGACTGAAAAAAAAATTTATTTTGTGTATAATTAAATTAAGAAAATAATAATTTCATTGTTCTTTATTTTTAATTTTTAATTGAAATATTTAAATATTAAATACAACGAATCGCACTTTTTACTTAATTTATTATTATTATTATTATCATTAATATTTTTGTGTATTATAAAACTGGATTTTTAAGTTACGTAATTATGTTTCATAATATTTTCAAATCATTCAGTGAAGTAAGAAGCAGTTTGCATAAATACATCCTATTCTGTTTTATTATTATTATTATGACAATTCATAAAATCTGATGGTGTTAACAATTCTTAGAATTTTATATAACATTATAAATTATTTAATAATTTCAATTAAGTGAAAAATAATGTTTATTTTAATATACTTGCCTCTATAATTATATCTAATTACGCTATTAATAATAAATAAGTTATTTTTTAACCCGAATAAAACGGAAACCTGTCAAAACGGACTCGTGCCATTCCAGTTTACATAAGTTTTGTTGTATTAAAGTACTTAGTTATACAAATTCATGACAATTTCGAAGTAAAATAATTCATTAAATTATTTAAATAAATATATTTATTGTAATATATATATATATAATTTTTAATCAGTAGTTTTCGTATTGTGTTGTATTATTAACAGTTCGTGTTGCTAGAGCTTGACGGTGCTCTCGAGGATGGCACAATTGACACTCTTCATTCTCCGAACACTCTACGTGATGAAGATCGATTATTTTGGCTTTTATGTTAAAGAATATCTACTCGAAAATCTGTCCTGCTACGCTTCAATCTTTCTAAATTGTCCTCTTCTTTCAGGTTCCTCGTAAGTTTTCAGCAATAAGGTTGATTCACGACCTGATTTTCAATTTCTTTTTCTTTTTTTTTCTATACGAAATTTGAATAATTCGCCTCAGAATTTTATGAATTCATTAGCCATAATGATCAACGTACAAGGTTTTATTTATTCATTTATTTATTTAAATTTATAAAAATTTAATTAATTCGAAAATATATTCAAGAATCTAATTACGCTTAACGAATGACATTTTTTTTTTAATTATAATTTAAAAAATATTCTTTAAAATTTTGAAAATTCTTAGAAAAGAATTTTAGAATGTCAATTTTAATTGTGTAATAAAGTAGGATGTTTCGTTATTCAAAGTAACTCTTAGGAATTCATTTGAATAATAAAGAGAAATGAATAGGCTCACCCATATATATATAACCAGATCAGGTCATAAAGATGTGGGACAGGAGCAATTATCTGGGCTAATTTGACAATTAACTGATTGCACTTTCTATTAATAATGAAATGTTTACGTTTTAACCACGAAAATTTTATTAATAATAAAATAAAATTAAATAATGACGTTTCTAATTCTGTACGATAATTTCGACGATTACATTTATTATTGTCACTTAATATATGTTTAAATTCACATTATTTTAGCGTAGGGGAGATCGGGGCAACTTCGGCATGCGGGGCAAGTTTGTCAAGCGCTTTTTTTAAAAAACAAATTAAAAGGAGACTTTGGTTATAGGTTAGGCAGTTGAGTTTTATTGGTGGCTTGTTGAGTGTAGTGTTTTTATTGTTCTCCAACAAGCGTAGTTGAATTATCAAGCAAATTTTCATTTTCGTTCAATTCCATATAATATTTTTTTTCCATTTATATTGAATTGGCAGGTTTTGTTATAATTCCATGATAACAAAAGTTACTTTTCCTGTTAGAAGGATGTAACTTCAACTTATTCACGTGGCCAGATCGTGGCTTGGCATTCTGTTCTCAGGGTTGTACTTAATGTTTCGAAATCATGACTAGCGGGGTAAGATCGGCAACATAAAGCCACATTAGAAGCAAAGGATAAAAATCAAACAGATGATAAATGAAAACATGTTTGCATTTGTTATTCATGTATTCATGTCTTTGAACTTGCATTTCGTTCTAATAATATTAAATGGGTGTTGGATTTGTATTTCTTTGTTTTAATAGTGAATTCCAACTTATACATTGTTAATAACATAATTTTATATACGTGCCTATGTTGCCCCATTACTGTTGCCCCTATACCAGGGGCAACTTTAATAAAAATAATTAAAATAATTACAACTTTACAAAAAGAGAGAAGTTGCCGATCTTGCCCCTATACCCGGGGCAACTTCGTCAATTTCTCTCTTCTTGTAAAGTTGTAATTATTTTAATTATTTTTATTTCCAAACTGATTTTAACCAGTTCTATAGTAAGGTAACATTCCAATAGACAATATGCAAAGCTTTTTTTTCAGTTTACAGCAGTATTTATTACACAAAATTTAAGTAAAGCTTAACATGCCGATCTTGCCCCGATCTCCCCTATAATCAAACAGTATTTATAACGCTAATTATTGAATGTTAGTAAAAATTTTCTATTTATATATTCACTGTTTAATATTGCTTTAAACAATAATAATGGTGAATCAACAAAGTTAATTACATTTAACTACAGTAAACTAATTAATTTATTTCAGTTTTAATGGCTTTAACTTGCAGAAATAATAAGAGAAATGTGAAGTGAGTGAGAAGTTAGTTTGATATGATAGGAAGAATCATAAACCCCTTTCATTCGAAGAATCACAAACGATCCTTCTTCATATAGTCAAGTTGTACGTGAAAAGTAGAGAAAAAGTTCGATTTTGCAACATAAAAAAAGGGAATATTTAATTTTTCTAAGCTATTAAATGAAAGTAATGTGTGCAAATTCTGTTAGATTCTCATTAATTTTACTTAAACACACATTTAGCAAGGAGACAAAAGATGTTGGAAAAAATGATGTTGATAGCAGATAAAATGATATAGAAAATATAAGAGAAGTGTAATGAAATATTGGAAATCATAATAGAAAAAGTTACAGAGATAAAAGAAAAGAAAAATCACTTCCAAAGCAAAAAGAAAGAAGAAATGATAACAAGAAAAAAATAGTGAGAGGGAGAGAGAAAATTTATAATGGCAACAAAGTTATGAAGTTCGAAAGAAGATAGAAAATAAGCTAAATTAAGTGAAAGTACACTAGTATTTTATAATATACAATTTTGTAAGTATGCTGTGTAAGAAAAGAAAGTGCTTATTGAATTTTCGCGTTTTATACCGCGTAGAACAAGAGCTTTAAGTACGATCTACGTAAACAAAATACAGTGTTGTAATCTAGTATTGTCCATTTTCATGCTTGGTTGTATCTCAGTGTAAACAAGAACGTATAACAGGTCGGCGGAAACTAAGTTGGTGGGAAGCTATGTGTCAGGTGACAAGAATCGAAAGTGCTCAACTGGAAAGCATGACCCAAATACGAAACCGGATGTTTTCTATCTCTACATAATCAAAAATGTCGTGTTCTCTAAATTTGTAATTTAAAGTAAAATATATATATATATAATTTTTAATCAGTAGTTTTCGTATTGTGTTGTATTATTAACAGTTCGTGTTGCTAGAGCTTGACGGTGCTCTCGAGGATGGCACAATTGACACTCTTCATTCTCCGAACACTCTACGTGATGAAGATCGATTATTTTGGCTTTTATGTTAAAGAATATCTACTCGAAAATCTGTCCTGCTACGCTTCAATCTTTCTAAATTGTCCTCTTCTTTCAGGTTCCTCGTAAGTTTTCAGCAATAAGGTTGATTCACGACCTGATTTTCAATTTCTTTTTCTTTTTTTTTCTATACGAAATTTGAATAATTCGCCTCAGAATTTTATGAATTCATTAGCCATAATGATCAACGTACAAGGTTTTATTTATTCATTTATTTATTTAAATTTATAAAAATTTAATTAATTCGAAAATATATTCAAGAATCTAATTACGCTTAACGAATGACATTTTTTTTTTAATTATAATTTAAAAAATATTCTTTAAAATTTTGAAAATTCTTAGAAAAGAATTTTAGAATGTCAATTTTAATTGTGTAATAAAGTAGGATGTTTCGTTATTCAAAGTAACTCTTAGGAATTCATTTGAATAATAAAGAGAAATGAATAGGCTCACCCATATATATATAACCAGATCAGGTCATAAAGATGTGGGACAGGAGCAATTATCTGGGCTAATTTGACAATTAACTGATTGCACTTTCTATTAATAATGAAATGTTTACGTTTTAACCACGAAAATTTTATTAATAATAAAATAAAATTAAATAATGACGTTTCTAATTCTGTACGATAATTTCGACGATTACATTTATTATTGTCACTTAATATATGTTTAAATTCACATTATTTTAGCGTAGGGGAGATCGGGGCAACTTCGGCATGCGGGGCAAGTTTGTCAAGCGCTTTTTTTAAAAAACAAATTAAAAGGAGACTTTGGTTATAGGTTAGGCAGTTGAGTTTTATTGGTGGCTTGTTGAGTGTAGTGTTTTTATTGTTCTCCAACAAGCGTAGTTGAATTATCAAGCAAATTTTCATTTTCGTTCAATTCCATATAATATTTTTTTTCCATTTATATTGAATTGGCAGGTTTTGTTATAATTCCATGATAACAAAAGTTACTTTTCCTGTTAGAAGGATGTAACTTCAACTTATTCACGTGGCCAGATCGTGGCTTGGCATTCTGTTCTCAGGGTTGTACTTAATGTTTCGAAATCATGACTAGCGGGGTAAGATCGGCAACATAAAG